TGGCTGGAGTAGTTGACTGGCCGGAACCAATAAAGAAAAAGGAGTTACAATCATTTCTCGGATTCACTAATTTCTATCAGCAGTTTATCCAGAATTATAGCAAGATCATTTGACCAATGACCCAGCTCACTGGCAATGCTCCATAGGGGTGGGGAGCCCATCAGCGGCTTGTGTTTGCTGACCTAAAAAGACGCTTGGTGGAGGACATCATACTTGCCATTCCATCCCAAGAAGGAAAATTTCGGGTAGAGGCCGACTCTAGTGAAGGAGCAATTGGAGCTGTACTATCCCAGGAGCAGGAGGGATGATGGCAATGAGTTGTGTTCCTTTCAAAAGCCCTGACCACAACTGAAAGAAACTACAAGATTTATGACAAGGAGTTACTAGCAATAATGCTTGCCCTGAAGGAGTAGTGATATTACCTGATCAGAGCCTCTCAAACCTTCGAAATCTGGACTGACCACCAAAATCTCAGGTATTTCCAACAACCTCAGAAGCTAAACTGACAACAAGCCTGATGGGTCACTGAACTTACCCAATACCAGTATACACTCCATCACAAAGCCAGAGTGGCAAACAAAAAGGCTGACCTCCTATCTCGATGTGCCAATCATGATCAAGGGGGGAATGATAACATGAGGGTAACAATTCTCTGGCCTGAACATTTCTGAGCTATAATAATACCAATAGAGGAAGAGATCCATGAACAGATCAAAAGCATCACCCACGACAGTCACAAGTGGGATCAACAGATAGCTCCATCTCTAAATCACAAGCGAGGAATGATGAAGGAAGATGGGATGATCTGATATGATGGGAGAATCTATATTCTGAGGGACCAAAGCTTATGAGAGGAAATTATCGCCACTTGTCATGATCATGCAACCGCAGAACACCCCAGTATTGCCAAAACAAAAGAATTGGTCCTATATGAATATTAGTGGCCGAAAATAGGAATCAATATAGCTGTATATGTCAAGGCATGCGAGACTTGCCAAAGAGGGAAGGCTTTGACACAACAACAAGCCACCCCCCTCCACTCAAATGAAATCCCATCAATGCTCTGGACTCATATTTCCATTGACATGATCACCAGGCTCCCTGATTGCAATGAATATGATGTAATCCTCATCATCATTGACTGATTCTCCAAAGCCATCATTCTGATTGCGTATTCAACAGAATTAACCTTGGAAGGGTGGGCTAAAATCCTAAGGGATGAAGTCTATGCCAAGTACGGAATGCCTCAGGTCATCATCTCTGACAGGGGACCACAATTTGTTTCTAAATTCCTTGACGATCTATATAAACTACTAAACATCAAGTGGAACACTTCCACTGCATATCACCCTCAAACTGATGGGCAGACAGAATGAGTAAACCAGGAAGTTGAGAAGTACCTGCGATTATTCATTAACTACCGGCAAGATGACTGGGTGGAGTGGCTGGCACTCACAGCCTTTCAACACAATAACCATGTTCACTCCACAACGGGACAAACTCCATTCTTTGTTAACTATGGATGTCACCTCAATGTTGCCCTTTCCATGTCATGCTGAACAACAATCTCTGCCTCCACAGACTTTGCTGCCGATATGGCTAAAATTCACACTGAAACAAAAACTGCTCTTGAAAAAGCCACAGCCACAATGAAAACACAATATGACAAGCACTGTCGTCTGTCACACCAATACTCTACAAATGATAAAGTCTGGCTTGATACGACAAACCTTCACCTTTCTCATCCTAAATGGAAGCTGTCTGATAAATGAACTAGCCCTTTTACCATCATCTCCAAAGTAGGCAGCAGTGCCTATAAACTCAGACTTTCCACTCATTGGAAGATACACAATGTCTTCAACGAGGGCCTTCTATCCCTATACATCACCCCTGCATTTCCAAACCAAGAATGTCTATCACCACTACCACTGGATCTGATTGATGATAAAGAACACTATGAAATTGACCACGTCCTCAACCACAAACTCCAAAAGGTCAAAGCAAAAAGTGGTGGAACAATAACAACAGTGGACTACTTAGTCAGTTGGAAAGGTTACAGGCCTGAATCAAACCAATGGGTAAATGAAAAGTACATGACAGCAGACAATGCAATCCATGATTATGAATTATCCTTAAATTAAGCCATCAGGATAATAGTCTTAAGGAGGGGGTAATGTCATGATTTTCACCTTTCTCCTTGTTTTTACCCCTATTTATGCTCACAGGACTATGGGAAAAGAGGGACTTAGTCATCACAACTAATCCACCCATCACCCATTAAAAGACAAAATACTCGACAATGACAAGCAGCCTTTTATGTGTGGTTGTGATGCTCAATGATAAAAAGCACCATGAATACAGACAGATACAATTAGTAGGATTATTATTAGCACAAACAGTATAGTATTTAAGACCCACAAGCTCTCACTGGTATACCCCAGCTTCGAGCTAAAGTTTACAAATACACCATTCTATTCTCGAGCTTATACTACGACCTTGTGACACACCAATCCGAAGACACATACAGTGGATTCAGGTGATCCCTCGAAGTGCGAAAGGATATCTGTCTATCATGTGTTTAGGTTCATGTGATGCTTGGGTCTAACATCTTTGATCAGCTTTTTTGCAGTCTCAATGGAGATATGTCTCATAAGGCAGTGTAACTCATCTGATATCACTATTCATAGCCCATTGTCAATGTGATATGCATGTAAATTTTATTTGAGGGACCAGATGCAGTATAGTCTATCCATGAGTAGAATGGTGCCAATATGATGGTCATATTTATTGAATACATGATATTCTCTACTATGGAAATGCAGCTTATAGCCTGTCTTGGTGATCCAACTGACTGAGAGCAGTGTTATGCTAAGGTTCAGTGCATGTAATACATTTTTTACCAGCATCTTCATTGTCTGATTCCATCCATTAGAGATTATAACATGTGTATCTCCACATTTCAGTGCCTGGAACTTCTTCTTGTCAGCAGTCATGATTTCTCATGGCTCAATAGTCATGTAATTTATTAATCACTCTTGAGAAAGTATCATATGCTGTGTAGCATCTGAGTCAATAATACTGACCTCATATATGCATTCTGTGTCTTCAGTGGCAGCAGTGATCTTATCTGTAGTGAGTGAGGTCTTCTTTATAATCTCCTCCTCCTTGCTGATGACTTCCTTCATGTCATTTGCTTTGTCATCACTCTCTCCAGCATCAGTGAGAGGTGATATATCATTGTATTTGTCATCCATTCTGCTATATACAATGCAACATGCATTGAACATTCTCTAATACTGAAAGAATAACTTTTAGACACATACAGTTGCTCTTTATAATCCTCCTGCTACACTAAAGCCTTATTAGAGATCAGCAGGCAGTTCTGAGCAGCATTTCTGACTATACAAGTATGCTTATCAGATGCCATATTGCATAGTGTATAAAGCAGTTCACTTTCTATGTCTGAAACTGCAGAGTCTTGCAGCTTTTGTAATTCTGGATTGATATTTTTATCAGAAACCATGAGATTGAGCTGCTGTTTAAGATGAGAAGCTATGATATGGATGATTTAGATGTAATGCTTAAGAATAGAAATAGTAATGGTAATAGAAGCCTATAAAAAAATAGACAACATGAGATACTATGGCAGTATGAGAATTAAAAAAATGGCTGCATGTCTTGGCCACCCAGTATGATCACCCAATCTTGGTGATCTGCCCCTTTGGAATCCCACTGAGATCTCTACATTCTCTATATATCTCATTCCTAATTTTTATCACAGGCTGATGATCTTTGGTTTGATGACAGCACACCAGTGTCCTCAACTCTGATGTACAGGCTATAAATACTAAATAAAAGAAACAGAAGGCTGGAGCTGAGGAAGATATTGGGAGTTGAGATCTTGTTGTTTCTAAACTGTCATGACTACATCTTTACTGACTTCATCAGGCAGTGCAATAGTCTATGTATCTATATCTATGATACTGATTTAAATCTATGAATAGACTAAGCATCCTATTACAGCAATTACTTGCTTCTACCATCTATTGGTTTTAAGACTCTTTGAGATGATCTATAGAATTACAACTCAGAGTTCTAAAAGTTGAATAAGATCTCTTTTGGAGAATTAGATCAATCATATTACTGCTCTTACAGATCATTTATTATAAGTCATCTTTAGTGTTTCACATGAAAGTGCACCCTTGCTGCTAGCTGAACTCAGTTCCTTATCATAACAAGAACATTTAACACTGTGCCTCTATCTGGGCATTATGAATATATTAATGCCAGTCTAAGACATTCACTATGATCTCATAATCAGATTGCTGAATGCTGTTTGATATCAAAAATAAGATCCATCTCATTATTCACCATAGTATTTAAGATGATCTTAATATGATAATCATTGTTGCAATGCAACAGATTTTTTGTTGTGTTACTGCATGCTATATAATGAGGGATGATAGTTGTATTACATTTACAGACTACTTCCTCATTTACCTTTCACATGTCACTCAGACTTTCTTAATGTCCAATCAGACCAACATCAATAGAGCTTTTCTATACTCACATCTTGATGTTCAACTGAATTCAATGATACTCTTCTCTCTACTGAGTGGTATGTATATTTATTTGTTCAAATACATGAGCTTAATCAGAGCTCTATATAGGCCTGTATACTGGAATTGTTGCTATCACACTGTGGAATATATGTGAGAGAAACATTCCAACTCTACTATGCTTTAAAAGCCGAAGTGAATGACACAGTTATGAACAAGTCCCAACACATCAGACAAGTTGGCATCACTATTGTTATAACTCTCCTCTATATTTTTACCATCATCAGCTTTGCCTTTACTTGGTCATTCATCCATTCTATCTTTATAGATCATGGACAAAGCTTTTTAACAGCATATATGTTTCTTCAAAATTCTGGCTTAACTATAACAATCAGTTCAGGTATACCAGGTGCCATTTGTACCATCCTGGCAGATTCTACTATGGTGTGTATGACAATAGGAATTTTTGACACAGCTTACCATTATTCTAATGTAGATTTGGTGCTATTGGATAGTCTGGGGTCAGCACTGGCTGAGCATTCTGCCTCTTGTACTTTTTCTTCTTTCTACAACTGGTAAGATCTCTCAGATCTCTTAGAATTGGCTAATTTATACAATAATTTATGCAGCATTCAAAATTATTTTTCTCTATCAAGACTATATGAAGATCAACTATGAGGAATATATCATTAGTGATATACTTTATTCATCCTTTATGCTTGCAACAACCTTGTGATGCACAGTGCTTATCATCTATTGTATCATCACTGTTGTACAAGCAGGAAGTCAAGCAAATGGAATCAAAGCTTACTATCACATCATTGAAGTCTTTGTGGAATCATCAGCTCTTTATTCCATATGCTTGATTCTAAACATAGCTTTTTCCTCTCATAATTCTGTTTTATGGGGATACTTTGATCTTTTAGGAACAATAACAAGAGTATGCTTATAATCTTTTTTAGTCTTTATATCTGACAAACATTATATAGGGAATTGCTCTAACACTCCTTGTTGGACATGTTGCAGCAGGTCATGCTCACCCAGATGACTTTTGGCAAAGAAGTGTGATTTCAGGCTCACTTCACTTTGGGACACATTCTGGAGGCCAGACTTCTCAGCAAGATTCCATAATCAGCATTGATCTTGAATCCCAGCAGGAGATAGATAATGACCATGGCTATCAGAATCCAGCATCTTCTGAGGAAGATAGTGCCTATAACAGTGGCATCCAAGAGGATGACTTGGAGGTGGCTCAGCAAGAGAGAGATATCATATACTCTCATCACACTCTGGCAGAATCTCAGACAGATGTTAGCATCAACTCAGGAGATGTCATCCAAAAGCATGGTCCTGAATTAGAGCAGGAGAGAGAGACAGAGACAGAGATGAAGAATATGGCCATTGTATGTTGAAGGGCTCCAGAGAAGATATTAGTATGAAGAGTGTCATTCCCCAGGCCTAGATGGTTAGCAGACACCATCAATTACCTACTTCAAGTAATAGATCACATTCCATTCCCCTATTTTAATATTTATTGGGCATTGATTGACCTTCATCCTTTTACATATAATGTTACACTTTCCTTATAAACATTCACTATCACAAGAGAGATCTGTCTGCAGGCATACTTGAGAAGAGAGAGAAGTAACTTTCCAGCTTCTAGATAGAGATCTTCTAATGCTGGTCCTCTGTTCAAACAATGTGCAAATGAAGCACAAAGCTAAGTGACAAGTAGATCAGACAAGTATTCATCTTGTTTGAATCTGTGAGAGAATTTGAGCATTCCAGCATTCCAGCATGCTGAGTAAGAAAAGAATCTGAGGTAAATTGAAGGAATTAGATAGAAATTACTGGAAAAGGTGTAGTCTAGTATAAATATGAGAAGTAAATGGGGAAACTCCTCAGGAGTTTGTAACCCAAAGACTAAAGGTCTTACAAGCATGTGTTCTGGATACAGTTTAAATCTCAACACATCTGTATATACAACTTGAAGAAACCTCAACCTATGAATGAACACCTTTTACATGCTAGAGCAAAGTATATACAGAGACCTAAGATATGGCTCATACAAGATCCATGTCCAAGTGGGACTGCTTACCGCATGCAGCTTTTACCAACCATGAGTACCAAGAGAATGCCATGACCACATCTGTGAGGTTCATATTAGTAGAAGAAATGAGAAGAGCACTGCACTGCATTACATTGTTATGATATAAAGGAGCCGGCCAAAGAGTGTGTGGGGAAAGAGGTGGAAAACCTATTAAACAAGACTGAGACTCTATGGCAACCATCGGAATCAATGAGAAAGAGTAGAGATATTGCACACTAACTTTTTGAAAGAAAGATGATATGCACCATGTGCAATGGATATAATCTGTGAAGTCAAGGGTTAACTAAGAAAAGGCAGAGGTTGGGGTAAAAAGAAGAACACATATGAACTTACATGAATGTTGAACTGATAGGTCCTGAACTTGATGTTGGAGCATCCGTGTATTCCTCCCACTCGAATTATCAATATGCATGTCGGACTCCCAATACAACTTGATGTTTTTTCTGATGCGTCTGTGGTGTGGGAGCTCCTGTTGTGGCTCCTCAATTCTTGTATGTTTCGAATCCTTGGCCATTACGAATACATTGAGATATTTGACCAGGAACCAGCTATCTTCTTGCCGATTACGCTCATTTATGTAGAACCAGATGGCACTGTTGCTTCCACTTGGGTACCGTTGTCGGTAACGTTGAGTGAGGTCTCTCAAAATTTCACTACAGATACTTCTCATAAGGCCAAGAGTATGCTTTCTTCACCTTCCTTTCTTTTTTCCCAATCTTAACCAACCCTTGGCCTTAGGCCTCAACTCAGGTGCTTCGACGATCGGCGTCGACCGAATTCCTAGGCTCAGCGTTGCCATCCTCGAAGTCACTGATATATCTCCCTTTTATACTAACTCGACTTTAGCAATGGATGCTAGCTGTTCCATTGGCACGTACATGTTCAGTTTGCTCGTTCAATACTTAGGCTCACCGGAACTTACATGCTTTTAGTTTCGGCGTTTCATATTGTCATGTCTCTACTGTCGCCGTTATAATTTACTCCCGAAGACCAGATGTATATCGCAGAGTAGCCGAACGTGACCCTGTTCATGATTTGCATCCCAGACCAGTCACAACATGTTATATACAAGCTACAGGCAGCATCCAGCCGTCTGGATATGGTTCAACTACGAGAATAAGGCCAAGGCCCGTTAAAATGTCTATGGTACTCATGTGCTCTCTTCTTCTGGTTAAGGTCTTGATTTTCAGGGGCTGTCCACGTCAACTCATTCATTCGTCACCGACGAAGACGACCGCTCAAGCTACGCTATGCTGAAGGGTCGAATGTCTGCGGACATCCCTTCCAGCTGCTCGGGCTCTTATCAGTAAACTTTTCACGTCAGAGTTTCTTCTGTATGCCAGTGTCTTGGGCCGTTTACCTACTCCCAAAATGCTGATCTCTCCGCCTTACCTCGAGCTTGGTTATCGGCGTACTACTCGGCATGGAACCAAGTACATGGTGCAATGCTACTAGTACGTCTTGGTTCTCTAATTATATGTTCCAGGACCTTGGAACGCCAGTTTAACGGCCGTCCACGGCGATATGAAACTTGGATGGAGCGCCCGGCAGAAGTGAAACTTGCCTTTAACTTGGCTCTGACGCTGCCATCCACAGTACACGCGTGGCGCCTCATTGCTCGTCAAGGAGAAGGGCCAGTAACCTCCACATTGAATGTTAAGTTCTATACTTTAAGTCCTCCTCTAGTTTCCCTCTGACAATCGTCGAGCTAGCTATAAAAACTGCAGGAGATCTGCAATTTATTCGTTATTTTTATCTACAGGCAATGATTCCCTGTTTGGGTGATTAGCCTGACTGGCGACTCGTATCTGCCGCCGTCTGACGCTTGACTAAGTTGATGGGTCTGAGATCTCCCACGCTAGTAGAGTCTCTGGTTTTCTATGAGTCGGTCGTCTTAAAAACCTTTCCCTCCAGTATATTTTCTATCGCCATGGTGTATGTTATTTTTCAGGGCCTGACTCAGGGAGTACGCTCGGTGGGACTTTGCCAAAGCGAAAGAGTCCCACAGCAGACTCGTTACCTCAGTCTTTGGCTCGCGTTACGCGCAGCAATGATTTAGCTAATTTAGTCTAGCCTCCTCGTACGAACGTCGGTACCTTTCTGCTGAAGAGCACCGTCGATGAATAACCCCCCTTGAATATTTTTAGGACTTCACGTACTTGTTTGCTTTCAAAAAGTATGCAACTAGGACTCGGAGCTCGAACCTTGAAGACCGAGCCTGAGTCACAACGAAAATATTAGGCTAGAGAAAAGAATTCACAGACCATCTACGCGTTTGATAACCGCAATAAAACGCAATAAAATTCCACTCTGGACCAAGTTAAGAAAGAATGGTAGTTGCCCAATAGCAGTGGTCGAATCAGTCAAAGGGCCAATATAATTAGGACAACCACGGTTAGAATGAGGGGCGAGAGACCTCTTCTAGATTGTTTCAAGGCTCAGAAACTTAACGGAGGGTCAAGGTTTTTTTTCCCCTGGTAAGGAACAGTCAAAAGTCGCCCTCCAGGGGAACAGCATCTGGATATGAAAACATTTTAGAACGTTACGAACGGTCAGTTATTTCGTTGTATGTGATGAAGCAAATCAGGTCTAACCGTAAATGCTTTTTGGCTAATAAGCCGTAGGCATTTTGTACAGGTTGACCTAGCAACATTGTCACGCGAACTCAGTAGCCGCCTATGAAGTGTAAGATATATAGAACCTATTGCGCTACTTTTCATTTACTCGCTATACTACTTCTTGTCTTTCTTCGACAAGTTGGACAATCAATTGACGGTTTCACCCTTTTGACACAAGACGATGGGCGTTCAAAAGTCCTTAGAGTTTTCATATGGGCACCCTGCTATAGTGTTACTCTTGTATTGATATTTGGGCGAGGCTGACGCCGAGTCGGATAGTCCGAGTCTCTCGAGTTCCCCGTGTCCTTATTTTGAGCTAGCGAGAAGATAGTCACACGATGAATAACAATGTATAAGTTCGCGGAGGTTAGATTCATGCAGGCCATATAAGATACTGAATTCTTATCTGATATATAAAATACCACTGAATACTTATCTGATAGACCCTAACAGCCGACAGCCAAAACAGGGAATCCCGACGCTTTGGGACAATTTGAAGCCCCTGAAACGTCGGAAGCGACCGAGAAAAATTACGGCACGTGGCAACCTTGGTGGTTTACCACTAACTCGTTTTCAAGGAGGAGCCATGGATTCCGCTTTTCTGGGTCCCCTCTATCTGGTTTCGTTCTCATTCTGGATATGTATAAAACCACAGATGTCTCATTTTCACCAATATCAATGGTTATCACACTTAGATCCCTCTTGAAAACAATTTGGACGCACGGAAAGAAACATACTGGCGTTGGGCTGGTATGTTCAGTAGCGTATTTTGATCCGTGAGTACCTCTTTGTGGGATTCTCCCCAGCACCAATAGCTCTGCAGAGGAAACTGGGGGGTCGACCTGCAAGCAGGCTCGTTGTTCGGCTATCGGCTGCTTTTTGTGGTCCTCCTTTCTGGCCTAATCGCTGTGTTCTTCCAGGTGGGTGAATTTCCTGTACGCTGTATATACTCGTGCTGATTTTATTGATTAGGTGTTGTCTCACCGACTTGGATGTGTTTCTGGCCTCGACCTGGCTTCGCACTGCCGGGTTATGTTGTATCCCCGCGCAGTAACCCGGTACTCACTCCTTTACCCCCTCTACATTCTGGCGGAATCGGCCATCATAGCCACTGACCTTGCGGAGCTGCTCGGGTCCGCGATTGCGCTGTGCCTGCTTTTCCCCGCCCTCGAAATATGGCATGGCGTGCTCATCACCGCGTTCGACGTTCTTCTCATCCTCGCCCTTGGCGATCCGCTCGGAGGAAGGCCGGCCCGCATCTTTGAGATTATTATCGCCATTCTGGTGATTGCTGTCCTAATTTGCATGTGCATCATCATTGCCCGCGTCCACGTTGACTGGCCTCTCGCTTTCCTTGGGTATGTCCCGTCAAAATACATACTCAAGGATGGTGCATTATATACGTCGGTGGGCATCATAGGAGCGACAGTCATGCCGCACAGTCTCTTTTTAGGCTCGGCACTAGCCACTCAGGACCGTGTATCAGATCCGACCGAGTCTCTCGACCCGATGGAGAAGCCAGAGAGCTTGAATTTTAAACAACGGATCCGGTCCGCCTTCCGTATCCTACCTATGTCCCCACCACAAACACCGACAGGCAATCCACTTTCGTTCGTCAAGATACATCTGTACCATGGCATTGTCGATGTTGTCCTCTCCCTCCTTGGTTTCGCGATTGTCATCAACTCCCTCATCCTCATCCTATCAGGTGCCACCCTCCCTTCCGCCAACTCTGCTTCTCTATTTGAGGCGTATGACCTCATCCGTTCTGCAGTCTCCCCTTCAGCTGCCATCCTCTTTGCTGTCGCACTCTTGTTCTGCGGCCAATCTTCTTCCCTCATCGCCACCGTCGCAGGTCAGGCCGTGTCCGAGGGATTTCTTAGCATTCGCTTGTCACCGTTGTTCAGGCGTCTCCTCACGAGACTAATGTCTCTCATTCCGGCACTCACTGTTGCCATAGCCATAGGCAAACCCGGGATTAACGCTCTTCTCGTCGCATCCCAAGTCGTTCTGTCCATCGTTCTACCCTTCATTGTCTTTCCCCTTTTGTGGTTGACCAGTAATAAACGTGTCATGTCCGTGCAGGGTGAAGATGGGAGCTTTGTATGTTTTGGTAACAGTATTTTCACTACTTTGTTGGGTGCAGCGGTCTGGCTTCTCATTGTCATAGCGAATGTTTATGTTCTTGTTACTCTGGGGATGGGAACTTCATAAATATCTTGTTGTAATTATAGGTGTACTAATATGAACCGTTTCATTCGTCGGCCTCGTTAGCCCGGAGTAAGAAAGAATAGCTGCATCCAAGTCCTTGGGTCCAGGTCATCTATTGGAGGTTTCTTCTTTCATCAGTTCGGACTGGTGGCAGTATAAGAGGCTTTACTTAAAGTATCGCGCATTTTCAATGTATATTCCGTCAAGGTCTGAAATGGAGCCTCAGCACCGTTAAAAATGTCTCATCTCGACGCGTCTGTGGCGTGGGAATTTTCTTCCGACCGACGATACCGCCAATGTCAGGACTGTGAGAACGACCGTTCCTGATTGGGATCTTAGCAACTCTCGTACATCGACAACGTCAACCATCTAAGCGATGCGCACAACCGTGAACTAATGGCCCATTGCACCATGGCTCGTACTCGATTGCGCTATCTTCGTTTCCTCTCGTATTTTTTTGACAAGAACGGCTAGAGCAAGAAAGCAGAAAGGCACTCCACCAGCGACAAGAGGTTCGAATGACGCTTGATTTCCACGAGGCAGCATACGACGAGCACTGTTACGAAGACGGCGCATCGGGTGTGTGAAAACTTGCTTGTGTCTGACTCACATGCAGAAATTCAAACAAGAGCCAACAGGATATTATTGGAGACGTTCTCGACACCTACTTATCTTAGCTTTACTATGGACCTGTCCCAGACCGAAACGGGCCTTTATCATTGACTCGGCCAAGCCGTTTCGAATCCCAGGAACCTTGAAAATTTCCTGCTCTGGAGTCTGCTCAGCTATCATTGAGTTTGGCTCTTGGCCAAACGGAGACACGACAGATAGGGAGACATCAGGTGGATGAGTGAACGATGATATCCAGCCATGTCTGGCCAGGGTCTCCTCTAGAGTATGAGAGTAGATTGTATCACCACAGTAAAAGCACATACAAGCCAGAATTCTTGTGTGTTATGGTACTTGGGGAGTCAGGACAATTTGTTTCGCTGATGGGATATGTAGATAATTCGATGAGAGGAACAGAAAGCGATAAATCGTTCGCGGCGGCAGCAGAGGACAAGAAAGTAAGAAAAAAGAAGCTATTTTTAGGTCACGTTGACGCCGAACATCCGCTGGATATTAGCACGTAGAATACAAAGTTTAGGGCGCGATTATTCTCGGAATGTCCAAACCCGAAGTATACCGAGGTTTCGACGGATAAACAGAAGGAATGTCCAGGCTGCAAAGGAATAGGGAGCATGGAAGAGAAAGTTATATGGTGAGTCGTATCGGTCCAAAATCCTTCTCTGCAATAAAACATGAGGAAGGACGGTCCCAATCCCGCGATCGAACGTCGCAACCACGCCACACATACCTGTTGCACTATTCCTGCGGACGAGCTCGACGTGAACATTTGCTGCCCCATGATAAGCGACAGTTTGATAGTCGTCTCTCAAATTCACTTCTAATAGGACACTGCCAACGACGGCATATCTTTGCTAGCATCGTGGGACGATGCCGAGGTGAGGGGATCTCCTTCTTGTGTCCTACTCGATCTTGATAATCTTATGTATACCAAAGGGACTTCTAAGGACCGCTTACCCTCTATGCAGAATGCACTAAAGACCCTCATCGACATGGAGCCATCATTCTTTCATTCTCTACAATACCTGATAACCCAAACTGCCATCTGCGCTCCTTCGGTGGAGGAAACCACACTTCCGATCCTCAAACCTCTCCGTGACGTTACTATCGATTTCATTTCCCCAGTCCTCACGGCTTGGACAGAGGCTGTTGCTCTCCTAGATTGCTTCGCGTATATCTTACATCATGATACGTTTCCACATCCAACTTATTATGCTGAGAAGTACGACTTGATGCGATTGAACGCTCGACTCGTGAGGGACGTTTTCCCGCTTCTCGATGCAACTATCACGAGTATCGATGAGCCACTCATTGCCGAGCTACGAGGACCATACGGCCTTGAACCTATCCTCCGCATCCTGAAATAGCTTCCTTGGTCGTCATCCATGCGTGTTGACCTTCTGGATGACGTGCCTCAGTTGATATACACGCTCCACAGGTTTTGTCGAGGCGCTATGGAATGCTTGAACACCATCGAGAAATATCTCGTCCGACCTCATGATTTTGTCGGAGATGACTTTCGTGTCGGGCCTCTGGAGGGCCGTCAGGAGATCGGTGATGGCTTGCTCAAGCTCAGTATCTATGCGCGTCGCTGTATGAGGCATTCCTCACTTCACTCAGGTCAATTTGGACAAAAAGGAGGAGAGATGATGGTCAGGTGGGACTATGTGGGCAGAGAGTATTTGCGCAACGATCCTATATTTTCGTCAATGATTCGTTGAAGTTTTCTAGAGTTTGTTTTGGATCTTTATCTTTACTATGCATGTCAGCAACGTAGAGTTTATCAGATAGCATTGGCGCCTTTCACCCGTGTATTCTACTTATCTCGCTTACTCTGGTTTTGAAGGTAAAGATGTTTTGGGAGATTTTCACCATGTCGTCAACCGTGTATGAGCGTCTAACATGTTTATTCCTCGAAGCCCATGCACAGCAATGGAAACAATAGTATTCCACCAAAAAGGCACTTTTGAAGTCAGACAGGTACCGTAATGCGAATGAGGTGTAAAGCGTGTAGAGCTGTGTACATGAGGTCACAGCACTCGGACAGCCGTCATTACCTTTTACAACTAGATTGAATGGATATCTTGACCAGCTACTTCCTATAAGGTACGGTCTCCGCGACATGGAAGCCTTGTTTTTTCATTCCATGAATTAACTGATGGCTACTTGGCAAGTCGCCTGATGCATAGGCTCGCTACGTGTGTGGTCGATAATTGAATCAACATCAACATTAAGAACGCCGTGCGTAGAGGACACAGCTGAGAAGATTCATCAGAACCCTTTCCCTTGTACCAATCTCGAGGGTCCAGAATCGAATGGAAGGAGATTTCGTGAGATAGGGCATCAGAACTATGGCATGCACACAAGTCGAAGATTTAGGTTTAAAACTTTGTTTAGAGCACCATGTGCATGTTGAGAGCAGGTTGCGTAGCGCAGCAGGGAAAGCCAGGTCTGGAGTCGAAAGTCAAAAGCTAGTAAGCGTTGACTTTCGACCTCCAGTATTGGTAGCTACGATTATGTAAGGTAAGAGCGACATGGAGGGTGTGCTACTTCAACAGTGCACGGATTTGTGAAGGAGTCGTCTCTGTTCTGCGTTGATGATGCAAGCTCAACGCGTCCTCGTTGCATCCATGCTTGTCGCGAGCCGTTTAACCTTTGCATCCCAACTCCGACACCAGTACTATCCCGTTGATTGAGGGAGGCGAGACGACATGATAGCTGTGTCCGGATCCAATAAGAATATGTCCGCACGACGCGGGAGTGCTCGACTAGAATCGGAGGCAAATCAATAGCAATTTCCTTCCGATTTCTGTACATATAGACATGTCGAGACAACGAGGCAATCACGGATCGAGTGGACATGATACCACAGCTTTGAAATTTCTTCAAGCCACAGGACTTGTGGTTTTGCCATGATCAGATGAAGGAAGATCAATCGAAAAAAAGTCTACTCACCACTAGATGCAGACTCCTTGTAGACATCAAAGAGCTTGCCATATACAATCGGACAAGGAGTTTTCGGGTAGTACCTGAGAAAATCAGGCTCGGCTTCGTCGATGTCCAGGGTCGAAGCATGCGGGACTTATGATCAGTATTATCAAGGCGCGCGAAAGTAACGAGATATGATATGGGCCTCGTTTGATGCCTTCTTAGCGCTGAAGATTGAAAGTCCAATGAGGAAATACTGGTAACGCTTTCCCATTGGAAGGATTTCGCATACATATGGTCCTGGCACGTTCCTGCTGAAATATTGTTCTGGAAGGGCACATCATAGAAGGGTCATCAGTGCCATGAAGCTCCCTGGGGATATGCAAGGCAGTGTTCGGGGAAAAGTGTGCAAGGTACGTCGGGAGCTCCTTGGACAGCAATATATGGCCACAGACCCTGATCAGAAATTCGTGTTAGGCCCCAGAAATTAATACGACATGCTCCAGTGCAGGACAGACGCTCACATTTCCGCACCATCACGGTTCCAGCAGTGTCCGTCGTGTCCCCGTTTGTCCAAGAGTCAAACTCAACGATAGCTGAGCGGACCATGGTAGGGAATTCTCAGGGTTCCTGGGACTCGAAATGGCTTGGCCGAGTCAATAATAAGGCCCGTTTCGGTCTGGGACAGGTCCATAGTAAAGCTAAGATAAGTAGGTGTCGAGAACGTCTCCAGTAATATCCTGCTGGCTCTTTGAATTTCTGCATGTGAGTCAGACACAAGCAAGTTTTCACACACCCGATGCGACGTCTTCGTAGCAGTGCTCGTCGTATGCTGCCTCGTGGAAATCAAGCGTCATTCGAACCTCTTGTCGCTGGTGGAGTGCCTTTCCGCCTTCTTGCTCTAGCCGTTCTTGTCAAAAAATACGAGAAGAAACAAAGATAGCGCAATCGAATACGAGCCATGGTGCAATGGGCCATTGGTTCACGGTTGTGCGTATCACTCGACGTTGTCGATGTACGAGAATTGCTAAGATCCCAATCAGGAATGGTCGACATTAGCTAAAATTCCCACGCCACAGACGCGTCAGCACCGTTAAAAATGTCTCATCTCGAGGCTCCATTTCAGACCTTGACGGAATATACATTGAAAATGCGCGATAATAAAGCCTCTTACCCTGCCACCAGAGCAAAGAAGAAACCTCCAATGGACGCCCTGGACTCAAGGACCTGGATGCAGCTATTCTTACTCCGGGCTAACGAGGCTGACGAATGAAACGGTTCGTATTAGTACACCTATAATTACAACAAGATACTTATGAAGTTCCCATCTCCAGACTAACGAGAACATAAACATTCGCTACGACAATGAGAATCCAGACCGCCGCAACAATGTGTTTCAATAATATTGCGCCACGAGCTACACCCCTGACCAAGATGCCACGGCCCCTCTCGAATTCTGAGGACGTCGAATCCGGAAAGACGTTCTCAAGGACATGCCTCTGAAGTAATTACCTTTCCACCAGCGGCGTAAAATCTCCATCGTGATCTCCGGGGTAAGGCGATGAATTGGAGATAATGCTGTCTTATAATCATTCTGGATTGACTGGAGATGCGACCTTTGAATCTGCAGTGATGCAGCAGCATCGTGGAGCGAATCAAGGCCACTATGTAATTCAGCGAGATGCTTCTGCAGAGCTGTCAAAGACACCTGCAACCGAGCAGATTGTAAAGGTGATGGCGCGTCGTTGGTGCGCAGAGAGAGATTTCAGTAAAAGCACTGGAAGGAATAACAAGACGGCGGCAGCGCTGGTTGCGTGACATGAACGGAAGGATATAAGCTGGGGATATTTTCGTATTCCAGATACACTGCGGAACATGAACGGTGACAGACGCACCTCGCCAACGACTCCTTTACTGGGTACGCTGGGGCCTACGTTCTTCTGGACTTGTTCCATCCTCTTCTTTACAACACTGCGGGTGCTGAACATATTTGGGGGACGATGGATCTCCCATGTGTACCCCTCGCGCGGTTTCTTCCTTCTCCTTTGAAGTGGAAGGTCATGGAGGACAGAGAGACCATTTCGCTTCCATCGCCACGGCTTGACTGTTGCAACGCTACCAGTGCATATTGACGCGTTCTTGGAGAGTAACTGTACAAGGCCGTACTCGACAGTGTCGTGGCCATGAAACCGGATTAAAGCGGCCCGATGACAAAGCAAAGATCCTTCCTTCACTTCATTACCATCTCGCTTTTCGTTCGACCTTCTTGCTACTACAGTGACGCGTCAACGGCGCACAGTTTTCATACAACTGTTACTTGGAGCATATACTGCATTATGTTATGAAATCTCGGACAATGGCACGAACCCGGAGCCTTTTAGCAAGAGAATGACATCGTTTGGATGCAGCTTTCAGTGAGTATTGATAATGTTCTTATCTTTCTACTATTACAGATATTGAATGTCACGATAGCTATAATCTATTCACGCCCTAAAAGATATCCTTGTTTGCCTCCACAAAGCTCCTCAATGTCCTCTTTCCGGTTACCTTCTTCGGTGCTACGAATATCTTTTCCTCAACACCTTTAGCATTCAGGCCATCCATAGATGCGAGCGCCGCCGCAAAATCTTCCGGAAGACCAAAAGCAAGATATCTCTTCTTCGACTCCTCGACGGTGATACGCGTGTGAGTAATCTTCCGACCAAGCACCTGTGTGAAGATGGCAGCAACCTACTTCGACAATCAGTAACAGTGGGATATATAAAAAGAGGATGGGGCGCACATCATCGTAAGAGAGCAGCTCAGGGCCCGTAAGAATATAGTCTTTGTTATGGCTCTTCTCGTCCGTCAACGTACTGACAGCCAAATCCGCAATGTCGTCTGCAGATATAAATCCAATCTTTCCATCCTCAGACGCGCTCATAATTGTGTTCTGTTCCCTAATTGTTGGGAGGTGTAGCGTCAAAAAATTCTCTGCAAAATCCAACAAATCAGTTATCGACCTTCTTTCTCTGGTCTGCAACATACCGAAGAACCACGAAGGACGAATGACTGCATAGTCGACCTTCAGGGATAGCAGATACTCGTGTACCTTCCCTATCGCGGGGGAACCAGGTTCGAATGACGTTGCGCTGAGGAGGACAAACCGCTTCACACCCTTCTGCACCGCCAAATCAATGAAAGGCTTCATAGGTGGAAACACGTCCAAGGTGCCTGCAGGTGCGATGAGGTAGATTCGGTCGATGTTCGGGTCGGCGGTGAAGACATTTTCGAACGTGGATGGGTCGTACCAGTCGAATTTGATGCCCTTAAAGGGCTCGGGGACGACGCCCTTACGAGAAGTGAGGAGGACAGGTTGGTGGGCGTCTTTGAGAAGACAGGCGATGCGCGTCGCTGTCTTTCCAGTTCCGCCAGTGAGAAGGATTGTCATAACGGGGCTATTGGTGAGTGCTTGTTATGGTTTGTGAACAATGTGTAGGCAGCTTATGATGGTCCTTTATATCAGGTCTATTTATAGAGTTTCTTTCTAATGGGTTACCAACCCGACACTAAGAGACGGCGGCATAGGGGACTATCTGATTCATCCGCGTAATCATTGGTATGTAAATGGTGACTTAAAACCCATACATCTTACCGCCCCATTTGTCAGACGCTGACATACCCACCGCCAAGACTGGCTGTTCTTTTGATAGGAATCGCTTGCCGGTGCAACAGTAACTACTGCTACTACTAATCGGAAATGAACTTTGGAATCGAAAATAGCTTTGATATTGATCACTCTGATGTAAGTGTCCTTTCCATGATGTCCAGTTCCTTTCTGATCCTTTCCTTTACATCCTCAGCTGCCCAAGAGATATCCACGCCAGTTCGCTGTAAGCGAACCATATCCCCGCCGCTGAACCCGCAATGGTACATTACTAGCTCCAAGTTTTCTAGCACCCACCGCTGATGCATGTACGTCGGATCGTCGCTCGCAATCGTGATCCTAACGCCCTCGTTCCATAGCCGCTTGATATTCCCAAATACGTATTCTGTTGGGAGCCGCCGATGGTAGGCGTGGGGACACAGCGTGAGCCCTAGACTACGTTGCTTGATTATCTGAATCAGCTCTGGCCGCTCGATGGCATTCAAACCATGGTCAATGCGGTCGGCGCCCTCGAGGCCGCCAACACAGCTGGTAGCGACCTCGCGAATGTGCTCGTGTGTGTCTTTCTGCCCAACATCGCAATGAGCTGTGATCCAATATCCGTCCTTCCTTGCCCGGGCGAAGATGTCTTGGAAAAGACTCGGCGGCCGGTCATACTCGTTGCTATCCAGGCCAACAGCATGAAAGACATGACCGAATCCTCCCTCGAGCGCCTGCTCGTACGTCTCCATCGCGGACGATGGGTCCACGTCCCGTAAAAAACACATTGTCCAGTCCACTTCCACACCGTACATCTCCTTTGCATCCCGCTTCGCTCGCTCAAGCCCATTCATCACAGCCGCGAGGGCGACTCCCCGTCGAGTATGCGCCTGAGGGTCGAAGAACGGATCCGCGTACCGGACATTCATGTCTGCTGCCTTGGCCAAGTACTCCATCGCAAGGTCGTAGAAGTCTTCTTCGGTTCGCAGCACCTCCATCCCGCCATAGTAAGCTTCAAGAAAGGTCGGGAGGCCGTTGTCACCGTGCAATTCTCGTCTGTGGTTGTACATGGTCGCGTACGATGCAACGAGAGATTTGTACGTCGGATACTGAGGAAGAGGGATTTGGTTCTTCTGCGCGAGATGCCAACGCAGAGATGGCGACAACGTCCCCTCGATATGGACATGCAGCTCGACTTTGGGTAGCTGGGACACGAATGTTGAGATGGAAGTGTCCATATCGCAGTGTGCCGCGGCAGTGGTGTCTAGGGAAAGTTTTGTGAGGTACATGTGGTGCAAACGCTTGAAACGGCAGACTCCCGGCAATAAAACTGCGGACCGAGAGCTCCGATCCGCGGTATGTTCCGCCTTCTTCACCGTTGTTTTCGTTTTGAAGCTTACATATCCTTAGGGCTTCGACCCTCAAACCCACCTTGTCTACGGTAGTCCACTTTATTCAACGTTCACGACTTTAACTGGCCCTATCGGTTTCTACATGTGCCGCGTGACCATGCTTCTGAATTCGGTAATCCGTCGGAGAAGCTTTTATGATAACGATAACGACTGTATACAATACTTAACGCCGCCACTTTTAACTCTTCAGAGTGCCTGTTCAATCGGTCTTCGCCCTTTTAGCTCCTGCCATGGCCGACGCCACCTCAATCAAGTCTAAATCTGACGTCGAGTCCAATGTCTCTATCGACGCCGATCTGGCACGAAAGGTGCTACGGAAAATCGACTGGAGATTCTTGCCGATCATGTTCATCACGTACAATTTCAACTTCATTGACAAGACTATTCTTTCCAGTGCGTCTGTGTTCGGGCTCAAGACTGATACGGTACGCTGTTTGTTGTCTTTTCTGAAGGGCTATCACTGAAAAAAGAGTAGCATCTAGTGGGCCAGCAATACAGCTGGGTATCCAGCGTCTTCTATTTTGGCTATCTCGGCTGGGCCTATCCTACGACGTATCTAATACAACGACTCCCTGTCGGTAAATACGTCTCGATCAACACCATAATATGGGGCACCCTAGTCGCGCTCACCGCTTCGTGCAAGAACTTTGGTGGTCTCATTACTGTTCGGTTTCTCCTGGGTGTGGCAGAGGCGACGATCACACCTGCGTTTGTGTACATCACGTCGATGTGGTACACGCGAGATGAGATTCCGATCAAAACTGGGGCGTGGTTCGCAGGAAACTCGTTCGGGGGCTTGGTGGCTTCGTTGGCAGCCTATGGGATCGGAAGGATCAAGGAACCCTTGTCTCCGTGGCAGTGGTTGTTCATCGTAAGTTGTTAATATCGAATACTGCATTCCTGGTGCTCATTGGCCGTTGTAAGATATTTGGTGTCGCTACAGGCTTGTGGGGAATCATTATCTTGTTAATTCTCCCGGATTCGATAGAGTCGTGTGGGTTTTTGAACGAGGAAGAGAAGAAATGCGCACAGGATAGAGTTATTCTGGCTGGCACGGGCAAATCTTCAAAGGAGACGAGCCAGTGGAAGCGCGAGCAGGTCTTTGAGTGCTTTTTGGATCCAAAGACTTGGTTCTTCTTCGCAATATCTATATGCACCCAGGTACGCTCGTTCTTTTGCTCTGACGACATTTGCTGATGACTACTTGATAACAGATACCAAACTCCGGCACCCAAAACTTTGGTAATCTGGTGCTGGAAGTACGTAATTTTTCCCGTATCCTTAACGCATACTTAACATCGTCTCTCAGGGCTTCGGGTTCACTAACCTCCAGACGACTCTTGTCGGGTTACCTTCGTCTATAATAGCTTTTCTGACTATTCTTACAAGGTACAGTGTACATCTTCCATTAGCAACTTTTGCTTTTGCTGAATCGGGTCTATACATGTAGTGGCTGGATTGCAGGCCGTGTCCGTAACATCTCCACCTTATTGATAATTCCCATCGTTATTTGCCCCGTCGTTGGGAGCGCTCTCATATATTCCGATGTCAGCAATGGCATCAAGCTCTTCGGCTACTACCTCCTCTCTACGGGTAATGCCTTTTGCTTTTTTCCCTTCCACTACTAAACTTTTGCGCGGTACAGGTCCTGGTGCTCTTCCGCTCTCCATGTCTTTGATGTCTGCCAACTACAAAGGTGTGACCAAGAAGATGACAATGACGGCTCTGTTATTCATTGCGTATTGTACTGGAAACATGTATGTTCCTCTTCTAAACTTTCATGGCACATTCCTCTCATCGTTCTCAGTGCCGGTCCTCAGTTCTTCAAGTCCTCGGAATCGCCTCACTACCCGACAGCATTCCGGACGATTATGATATGTTACGCCTTGGTAGTCGTGGAAGCGCTGGGGCTAAGGTTTTATCTGAGTTGGGTGAATAGGATGAGGGATATTTCGGAGAAAGATAAAGACGTGAATGACGGAGAACTTGACGAGGATGTGACGGATTTGAAGACTGTGGGGATGAGATACCGATTGTAAGGTTAACTCTTTTTATGGTGTAACTTTCGGAGCTTCCGCTCGTGTTCTTGTGGTTTGCAGGGCTTTTCCTTGGTCAAAATGGAAAGTAATGAAATTTTTACGGTCTGAAAACTAGTACACGAGAGAGGATCCCCGTAATGTCGAGTTCAAGAAGCATTCGTCAAGACCCTTTGCTTCCGATCACAGGAAGCAGCGAAGATGCAACATTTTCGCACCAGTCCCGAATGGTACCGTTCGTCTGAGCAGTATCCAAGGATCGGTCGGACCCCGCCGTCCACCATGGAAACGTGCCTGAAGATATCGAGGCGCCCTTCCAGAACAGGATTATAGCAAGAAATGCCGGTCTCTGCAAAATCCTCCCAACGAAATCGCGTTGCTAGCATTTCTTGATCTGCTTCAATCTTATCATCCGTTCAGCGCTAAGGGACATCAAACGATGTCTGTATCATATCCTCGTTGCTTCGGCGCGTCTTGAAAATTCCCACTTAATTTATGAGCACCTACCTCCATTCTATCTTCTCCTGGCAAGAATATCTACTACTTCGCCACCTCTTGACCACTCGGGCGAGCCTTGCCATGCTTCGACCTCCTTCTCTTCCCTCATCGAGCAACATTTGATAAAATCTCTGTACGTAGGGTTACACTGTAGAAATCCCCACTTCGGAGCGGCCGTTATAGTCGCCCGCCCCGTCGCGTCTAGACATGTAGACGATGCGCGTGTCCTCTTCGAAGACTGGACATCGACCAAGCTCAGCTTCTACTCAAAAAGCCTCGATGACCTACATAATGATAGTTTCTTCTATCATGTGCTCTTGTTGAATGAAATCACGAGACACTTTGACTACCTGTACCGACCTCTTCATTGGAAACCATCCTCGAGCATCTCGCCAGCAAGGAATTGGCTTCAGCGTATCGAAAGCTCTTTGATGGCGCCGGTCAAGAACGTCCTCATCTGAAGGTGACTATGCTTTCTGATTCGATTCATCTTCTTTCATCTTACCGTGGCACAGGCCCACCCACCCACATCTTATAGGAATACTATTCAGTTACAGTAACTTCCTCGAATATGAGTGCTCTCTTAACAGTTCTTGTCGGACCCTTGTTGCAGTTTTCCGACCTTCTTCAAGAGATTCACGTCACCCGTTCAAATAACTCCCTGCTGATTTCATTCTCACTAAATGACTTTGGCAATTTATGCTGACCTCGGTGACATTCCGCGTGAAATGGAGTTTTGTCAATCGGCCGTTTGATTTCTCTGAAATTAATGACCACTCACTCTCATCTGATGTTTACACAGTACACTCGTTGGCTCGATAAGCAATGGCACTACATGTTATACCTTCATTCTAGCCAACTGCTATCAGAGAACAGCTCACAGAAACTTCAAGCGATGGGCCTTGAAGAAAATGCTATAGTATTTCCATCTCAGTCAGCTTTTTTCTTTGCATCCTGAAGGCATCTTGGCACAGCGCCTAAAACGAGTTGGCATCTATTTGAGGCTTAAGCTTACAGTCCGTAACTGCGTAAGACTAAGATGTTCTTGATTGACATCGAAGTCGCAGATGCGACGAGAAGGCGGTTAAGCGCCAGGCATCAAAGCTAAGTAATTTATGCGAACGAAGTCCAGGACTAAAATTGCTTCCATTCCTTTCCATTCGTTGTGCAGACTTGGTCTAGTACTATTATTGAAAGAAGTTAGCTTGCTTATCTATCCTTATTTCTAGTTTAAATCTTGTCGTTTATCGTTTTCACCTCAACCACCGCACTCCTCCACTCAAGTCGCAACGTTCAAAATACGATCATCTTATACCCTCCTCTTTTTTGACGACCAACCATCATCTTTGCTTTTCTTCAACACTGTCCCATACTACCAGTAGTCTCCCGCGACACGATTTCCGCTAGCTGAACCTCCAGCTCGGAATTGTTGGTACGCAAGTCAGCGATGGTTTTCACGAGATGTGCAATCTCCTGCTCCAGCGTAGCAATTCGGGACAGTTGCAAGTTTCTCTCCTGCTCCAGGATACTAATCTTGGACTGCAGCTGTCCATAGAAAGCTGCATAAACAGACTTGACACGTTGCATCGGTCCGTTGGCGATGGGCTCCTCACGCTGAGGCTCGGACTCTGAATCAAGGTCAGCACGCTTGCGCTTTCCCAGATTATGTGGTGTCAAAGCCATACCGTTCATGATGTTGGCCTCATCGTTTTCGTTATATTGTATTTCCTGGAAATTGCGCTTTAGAGTACAGCGGTAAATTTCAGTAGAAATCTCACCTCGCCCTGGGGCTTATTGGCTCCATAGGTCTGTGGCCCACACCTCTTTTGCTGAGGGCGTTGCTCCTCGGCAAATCTCTTGGCATCCATCGTGGCTTTTTTGCACTTTCTGCGAACGTGGTTTCGGTCTACTGTCTGAGGGCTCTGGCGGGGGAAGTCTTTGATCGTCAATTGATTTTTGGGTTTCATGTAGAAGTCGAAAGGCCTGCTGTAAGAATTAGAATGGGGATTAGGAACGTTCATCGCCGATGGCCTATTGTCGGGGACAGCGACTGAGCTTGTGTACAAGTCTAGAAGATGGTGGTGTGAGGCGGCATTCCAAAGAGAAAAAATGGGACCTACTTATAGCGATAAACAGTATTCCGTCGAGTCTCCGTTGCAAGGGAACCTTGTGGTGCTCTGCAGAAGTCAACAGAAAAAAATGAAGGCCTGTCCAATAGTATTTTCTTTCCACGCAGTTTCATTTTGGGATATGACATAATATACAAGAAAATCAGAAGCACAGCGGCATTGAATCATTGAATCAAAGAAGACATACAAAAGCACAATTCGCGTACATTTGGGAAACAGCCATTGCCTCCCACAGGACAGACATAGATGACGAAAGATATCCATAGTGGCGATAATACACAGAAACGAGACACTAATAAGCATCAAAGAGGCTCAACCTTTCGAATACACCTCGGTTGCGGCCTCTCCCAATCTTTACGTGGCCCAAAGAAAGGCCATGTCGGAAGATAGCAATGTTCCTGGCGCACGAAATATATCGTCAGCCCATAGAAACCCGATCAGACAGAAGACCATAATATACCTCAAAGGCGCATGCAGGCCGACACATTACCCACACATTCCAGTCTAACCAGTCCATCAAGACATTGATATCATGCTTCCATGATTCTAGTAGCGAACCAAACGGACTAACGGGGGAGCTGTACTTTTCCAGTCCCGCCGAAATACCCTGAACCCACATCCGTGTGACCACACGACAGATCTCACGGTTAGTTTCACTCAATGCCTGGAAAATCAACCGTTCTGAGTACGTTAATCGTGCAGACAACAGTGGCACCTCGATATACGACGTGTGTGTTGTTGTACACAGCCTAAAGATCGGTGCTGCCCAAGAGTAGTCATCCTGGCCCGCACTGGGACTAAGCGAGTGCAAGATGTAGGGCTGGAGCATGATCTCGACCTGCGCATACACCAATTTCGTCGTTGTTGGGGTGTCGTGCTCGGTCGAATTGAGTAGATACCTGACCATATCCAGCCTCTCCGCGTACCGATCAACGATAACATGTATCAGAGTCATCCAATCAATCCCAGAACTCCCTCCCTGTGGTTTCCTCAGCTCAGACTCCAAGCTCGACAGAACGGCTTTGATGTCCTTATCACTGATGCCTGCAATACGATAGTCCCAGCGTTCTTGATTAAAACGATGGGGGATCAGACTTGGTACAAGAGACGTATCGTAGAATGATATCAGACGGGAGAGATCAAGGTGGATGCGTGTGTCTCCTGGGTAACGATTGTGCCATGAGCTCGATTGGACGACGGTATCCCAGCCCATCGAGGATACATTGGAAGGAGGAAACGGATTTCTCCCAGGCGGACGACGTGGTGGACCACCAGGACCTCGGCCATGGGAAACAAGGTTGAGGAAAGAGGCAACTTGTACACCTTCCGTGAAATCGCAGAGCATGATTTCGCTTGAAAGGCGCTTTGAATGCGAGGAAGATCTGAAGAGCAAAAACGAGCGCTTACAAGTCCTCTTCCATTCTTGGATACAGAATCACTCAGTCTTCTCGTAGCTAAAAGTATTCAAACAGACACACCTAACAAATCCGTCCAGGGAGAACTGCTGTCCCCACATACACAAATCTTGAAGCCGCTTGCGTTCACTGCCAGTCCATTCCGGTACAATCCTTCCCCAGGCAACAATGTCTTGACTATCCATCGGGCCATCCCTAATCTTCACTGCGCTAGCTCCATCGAAGTACAGAACATTCAAAGGCCGTGTCGTAACAAGAGTGAGTTGCCAGCACCCAACATCTGATCCTCCTCGGCAGAATCGATACGCATGCTCTGGGTCTGTAGACGTCCACTGAGGCTCGGCAGGAAGATTAGAGTCGCCGCGTCCATGGTATAAGAGGGTTCCAACTGGAACAAGGCCAGGAACTATGTTGTGTCCTAAAGAAATAGGTACGTTTCAATTGAAACAGATGCTACATTCATGAAGACTTACCATTACGATAGCGAGAGTTAGGCCAATGTTGTAGCAAGGCACTAACAGTATCGAATATCAAATGGCCGGTGTTGTTGATGCTGGGCTTTGCGTTAAAATCCCATTCCTCGGACGGAGAACTGGCATAGTTGAAACGAGTTTGGGATGGTTGTCCTGTAGCTGTAAGAGCAAGAAGGTTTAATAAGTAAACAATTCGCCAGGCCATGGACGAAGCAGACAAACAGCCAAAGCTGCGGGAAGTGCTGCGGATTTCGCGTTCCAATCACGGCAGCTGCACCGCTCCTTCCGTACAAATCTTCTCGAACTTGCCAGCCAGTAGAGTGCTTCGCGGCTGCACTGAGCGGGTATATGCGCTGTATCAGTCCCGCAACGTCAAAAAAAGCCTGCAGGGACAAAAGATGGGTCAACTTAGTACTGCAATACATATATCTAGAAGGTAATCGCGTTTTGGATATTGCTTCGGTCGTTTATATGGTATGGCGAGTGACCCAGATGCAACGACGAGTCGAAGGAGACAGCCTGCTTAGTGAGTCACCTGGTTCGGGATACCTAAAGATGACGCCATCGATGCGGCGACATTATTGTAAAAGGATCCGCCTGACTTGTCACTACTGTTGCTGAACGAGGCGAAAGTGGGAGGACAGTAGGAGAGGAGGAGAGCACCATGGTGAGTGCCTGACTCGGACTTTGTAACTCCGGTTCTTCCTTACGACAGAAATTCTGGTCCATCTCGACGGCGGTGACTATCTAGCACTTGAACTTTGGCTGACGACGCACAGCGACAAATCACCGAACAACGGGGACCCAGATGCATATTCTTCGAGTTCGTCGAACCCTAACAGCTGTTGGAGATCCGTATGGTCCTCGAACTATGCGACTCCTCAATATCTGTCAGTACATGTCTAGTACCGGCAATAGTAATAGCGAGACAGACCCAGCTATCAAATTTTTTGAGGCTCAGGCTGCCTCAAGGCCTCTTGGAATTGTCACTGCCTTTGCACGCATAACCTTCTGATCCTGCAGGTCGCACAAACTTGGTTACTAGTCGAAACGGAAAGGCGACTTCTTCCTGTGTCCGCCATAAGTCCTCATACTCTCCCTCCCATCAGAGCGTTCGTAACGCCAGTATCCCCCTCAGGTCAGAACCACCATAGCTCCCTGTTGGAAATCCTCGGTGTTGCGCAGGGTAGACTCCAGGCTGGTAAGGCCAGATGGTATGAACTTATTATTCTGCAGCTCCTACAGAGCTCGTATTTATACTCTCCAGGCTTGTATCTAGAATTTATTACAACTTTCTCTTTCTCTCGGGCTTACTCATCAACTCTCGGCATGATGCCGGATTGCCCTTTCTAGAACTTTCCAGCAAAATCCCAACACTCCCGTTCTGTATCTTCTGGCTCTACAGTCATCAATTTGCCTCTGTTAGGCGACATCAAAGAGCCCACCCGTCAAGATGCAACTTCAACCAGTCGACAACGATCTATATATCACTCGCAGGACGCTGATAACTGATGGAGAATCTCTGGTTTCTCCTGTAAATGTCTCTTTGTCTAAAGTCCTTAGTGTGTCTTCAGAGGGCTGCTCCGAGCCGAAGCATGAGAGTCATTTGGCGGCTGCTCATGGGAAGGCCAAGGATGCTTAGAACTATCGACTGTAAACGAATACGCTAGACAGCTACTTAGGTATACTTTCCTTTCTTTGACGTTGTAGATTTTCCTCATCAGTCTATGTCTATACAGGAGTACCCCGTTATCACCTAGTCTAAGGCTAGGTTTGACTGTTTCCGCTATGTAAATTCAAATGATACCACTGTTTTTAATCACTTACAAATTAAAACTTTGAGACGAATAGTACGTGCTTTGTGCCTAAGGAGAATCCCACTCTTGAATGGGGTTTTGTTCGGGACTCATCCAAATGTTTAATTGGGTGACGGATATGTTATCTGGTCCGGTCCGATCCTGCTGCGCAGCCACTCAAACCTGAAAGGAATTCTCTTTGTCTTCCCACTTCTTGTCCTTTGCTCCCCGTACCGACTCACTACCATCTGGTAATCTTCTTGAGAGCCTAAATTGCTCAACGTCGTGCTATAAACCTGCCGGTAACCGAATTCGGTAGACAGTTGCTTGTGTCTTCTCTGTTGCGCATCAGTTACCAGGAATTGACCAAGTTTTTTTTTTCATGCTCATATCCGGCTATAATGCAACTTTCTCGCGTTCCTCTTGAAGAAATACTGGCTAAAAATGATTGGATATTGACCTTCACTCATCCCCCTGATGTCTTCTGCGCACTAATGATGCGCCATCTGTTGAAGTATTGCGCCCTCCAAGCTAGCGTCGTTAGAACCTTACATAATCGTAGCTACCAAATACTGGAGATCGAGGTCAACGCTCCTCAGCCTTTGACTCTCATCTCCGGTGGCACATACTCACTGCGCTAATAACCCGCTCACAACACCATCATCTCTACAGTCCACTCAGCTGAAGGCATCCCTAGACGGCTTCAAGGTACCTCTCATTGAACTGCAGAGCGACCTTGATTTTCTCTGTAACGCTGTTGTATTGCTAGAGACTCGGATGTCGCAGTCATTTAAACATGACTGTGAGACAGCATTATCTCCAGCCCGTCGCATCCCTACGGAGGTCCTGGCAGAGATTTTACGCCGTTCGTAGACAACTCCTAGTCTCCTGGACATGAGAAGATGTTATAATTCACAGCATGGACCTTGGATACTTGCCATGTGTGCAACTTGTGGTGGAGTGTCATTGAAACACTCTACCCAGAGCTATGGTCTACAGTGTGCATTCCAACTCTCACCCCGCCCAATCGTCCTGAGGACGAAGAGCTAGAAAGACTCCGTCGAGTCCTTGAGCACAGTCGAAATCATTCTCTCAGTTCTACGTTCCATAATGATGTGCATTTTCGGAGATGTTCAGATTCGCTGATGGAGTAGTGTTTCAATATCATGGTCGCTGTCTAGAAACGATGGAGAGTGATAGAAATTATAAATCCTCCATTCCTTCTACGACTTTCACTCATGCGTGGAAAGATTGATTGGCCTAGGGAGATACACTTCTGCTTCACCTGCCATTTTGGCGACCCGCCGTCTGGAGACATTCACGCTTGCCCCGAAACTAGAAATTCTGCATCTGGAAGGCATGCACCCAGATTCTAACATCCGTTTCCCAACCACCAATCCTATCTCCTTCGCTGACAACAGAAAATTCTATGGCGACAGATTGACCTCCGAATACCTGGATGTTGTAAAATCGGCTGCAAAACTGCGTTCATTTTCGTACATTGATTACGGCTGTGGGCCCTTCCCAATATCAGCGTCACTTGGCCTTATGTGCATTACCAGTTCAACCCTCGAGGAGCTTTCCACATCTTCATCGAAATTTATGCACAGCATGGAACTCCTGGCACTGATAGAGTTCACCTTAAGTAGGGGCCGGGCTAAGGGCAGAGATGCACTTCCACCGCTCCATGAGATGCTTGTTCATCCGTAATATTCGTTGATACGATTAACTCTCAAAAATGCAGGCCTGGATGAGAACCTTCTGCCCATCTTGCGGCTCACACCTCATCTATAAAACTTTGCTATTCAGCTTGATGAGTGGGCGGAGCATTATGACCCTGTAATGCTATCTGTGATGGCTCAAATGCAGGAGCTAAGTAAGTGGAAGGGTCACAGCAGCACCTCCTGGTCCCTTCTCTCTGATGACTTTACATTCATTTAGGACAAGTCTCTTTCACTACACTCTCTTTCCTCGACTGGGATTTTGTCGAGATGATAGTGGCATGAATGCCCAAGGAGGACGGTGGGCCAGGTTGTAAAAAACTTTACTTAGTTGTTATTGGTGAACAGTGGGTCTGTGATCTGGACGGTGAAAGAATCTTTTCTGCATGTTGGAGGAAGAAGGGTCTTGAACTGGAACTTCTTGATCTGTGCCACACTGAGGATAATTCAACTGACGAGCCCTCTTGACGAATACTCTGTGACTGCATCATTGCACATGCTCGAAGTTCATTCAAAGGGATCCTCGCCTAGGTGCGTTTGATGCCTACTCGTCCAACAAAGCCTCTTGTATGGTGAAACATTGCTCTCGCAGGATATGCCAGTAATATTAGACCAGAAGTTAAGGCAAAGAAAATTAAACGAGAAAGGATTACTGAAGATTACACTCTAAAATACCCTAAGGCTTTCTCTTTCACATTTACAAAACCGCCCTCTCCTCTGGAGCCTCCCTGAATGTATACATCGAATCCACGAAATTATTCCAGCCCTCTTCAGTGAGGATCGGCGCCTTGACCCACTTAGCCACACCCATTCCGTCAACCCACTCGTTCATGTTTCCCACAGCATTCGTCATCGCCGAGTTCTGCATATCCGCAACCCTAACTCGGGTAAGGAGCCCTGTCTCGATGTACCAACCGATGTCCTTCTGAATGGCAAAGACTTCGTAGATATCGGCGAGAACAGCGGGGATACCTTCGACCAAAGCACTTTCGTACGCCATCCGGTGGCCAATGGCTTCAACGAGATCTTTGGAACGAGGAAGAATGTAGTCGGCATATTGCTTCGACCGTGGTCCGTATTTCTTCGCGAGACCGCGGGCTTCGTCGAATACGCCTTTCTCGTCTATTGGTATATTGGGTTAATCATCCATTGTTAGTTTTGCAACACTGGAAAAGACTTACGCTGGGCGAGGAGACTGTTGGGGTAGAGAGGAGCTGGGACAGAGTATTTACCCTGGAGGAGCTCCGAGGCGAGACCTGCCGGATAGTAAGAAGAGGGATGAAGTAAAGATAAATAGCACGAACGAATAGCCAGAACAAGGACATCACCCTCAGCAATAACAATACCTCTTATCTCAGCCTAAGTGCGAATCAGACAAATGTTCCAATGAAGTAAACAAAAAGGTATAACTGACAAACTGAGTGATGATCTGGTTGTAGTCAAACAGGCCTTGTGCACCCAACCTCTCCGAAAGGTTGAAATGCGTGGTCTGTGCATTCTCCATAACCACGGACTTGTAGATGGTAGTAATCGCATGCCTTGCCTGACGATCAGCAGCGGGATCCATAAAGTGTTTAATCGCATGCTTCGTCCACGCCTCAATGACATACGTCTGCGCGACTGCAGTGAAGATGGGGATCTGCTGGGTGCGGAAGCTGATGATAGGCTGGGCAGGGATGCCGACTGTACGACGGAGGGAGTACTTGTACGCGATGTGAGCAGCAATTTGCATAGCTGGGAGAGCGACTGAAGCCAAAGCGAGAGTACCGACAGCGATACGCCAGATAGCGATGAGGAAGTCATTGTGCGTCGAGGGCTTGTCACCGACGGGTCCGAGGAGAGACCACTGCGGGAGGCGGACCTGGGTGAAGTGGGTGATGGCATGGTTGACCGGGGTGGCTCCATGGCGTGTAGGAATCAGTCTACGATTAAATGGACATCAGCTTTGGGTAACTTTATGTTTGAGATCAGCGTACTTGGCGGTGATACCCTTGCTCATGTGAACGCCGTCATTCAATTGGACGACAAAAGGCCTGATACCACGTTTCTCGCCATCGACGATCAACTGGGACCAGACGACGGCGTAGCAGGGTTTACCGAGAACGGGAACAGTCGGGGGCATATATTTGGAAGCAGCCCGGTTGGGGGAGTTGAGAATAAAAGTACCATCAGACTGGAGAGTAGCGGTGGTCTCTAGGTTTGTAGCATCCAAACCGTGACCAGCTTCAGTGAGAAGGAATTGACCGCTGATAGAAGTCCCGTCAGTATTTATAACATAGTCACGTTGAAGACAAGCGTACATGGCTTTGCAATCCATCATATCCTTGCATAGAGCCTGAAGCTCGGGGCGATCGGCAGCGTATGCTCCAATGGTACCCACAGCAAGATTGAGATGGATAACCATGATGGTGACGGAGGAACCATCGTGCCAAGCGATAGGGTCATTGTGAATCTTCCAGAACTTGGGACTGAGGTTGACGACATCTTCGTAGGTGAGGCCCCAAGCCTTCCAGATATGTTCCGCACGCTGGTACGCATTGTCGCACAACGCGAGGGCGTTGGACCGGCTGTTGGCATTGGTACCAGCCGCTCTGAATACGTCGACACTGAGGAGGGACTGCGAGGGCCAGTTGTGTGCGAAAGGCATTGTTGTTTGGAAGGGTCGTTGAAAGACTTGGAATAACTCGGTCGATTGAAGGAGCTTGATTCTTTACCGTCGATTATAGATAGTTTATATATTGTCAGTCCTGAGGCGCAGAGTTGCAACATCAGAATCAGGAGATCTTACGATGAAGTTTTTTTTTGGAATGAGTATTCTTGACCGCGTCCCGAATGCAAGGGTAGTACCCCACGTACCGCAGACCTTTACCCTCAGCGGAGCCGTCGTCACGGCGATATGCCGGCGGTTTGGAGAAGTTCATGGGCTCCAGACATAGCGATGGTTGTGTAGGGGGCGAATTCTCGCGGAAGACGAAGACTGAAGAGCAAAAAACGTATTGCAAAAAAATCGGCGACTTGATCGTTGTATCCGCGGTTTGAAGGGTGTGTTTAGCATTGACAAATGATAATGCTTCTTTACAACGCGTGCGAGCTAGACCACGGCCAGAATATCAAGTGAGATCTGCACAAGAATCCAGACCACAGCGTTGATCCAATGCAAGGGTGGGAGTCTATAGTGGATCAATATAAATCCCCGGGACGCAGAAATTTGAAATATCTCCGCTGTATGAACGCCAGATTCCATAGTGCGCCTCGGAGGGTGTGGGGTACGGAAAGAAGACTGTGCAAGAACATTTGTTGGCACCCTCGCTTAGATTTCCGATGTTCTGATTCATAGAAGTATTCATACTACTAATAGTAAATACTAATAAAGAGTTAGCAAGATGGGCTTCCAACATACCTGTCATACGCTCAAGTATTAGACTCTGTCCTAATAAATGTCGAGCCTGCGAGATTTCCTATTGCTGACTGGTTGAATTTATTTCCTCTAGGCTTCCCAAGAACGGCTTGACAATAGAATGGTCTTGTCTCTCGCGACGAAGGCTGGCACAGGGCCACCAGCTCCTAGAGTTCGGTTCGGTTGCGTAGAATTCGCTGGAGCTCCAAGCTCGAGAGTGATGATGGTGACCTGTTGCGGCCCGCTGGCAGCTGTGCACTCATCGACACCCTGGATTGGTGTTGTGCCATGCGATGCTACCCATCAATCAGACATCTTGCGGGTGAAAAAATTCTGCAAACAGTGTCAATCCCTGGGCTGGTTGGATGCTACAGCAACCTCATACCGGTTATTTACATGCTCCTTCATAGGCAAGAGCTAATCCCTCTTGACAACGCCATCATGCTAGAAATAGCCATTCAATCACACAGGGCTTTCCGGAAAAAGCATCAAGTAATGATGAAGAACAACGGGTAAGTACTCAGTCAGCACAGCGAAGGTGTAAATGACTGAGGCACAGAAACATGTGATACGGCTTTTATAGGTGATCGAGGTGTGATCGAGACATAGATGAAATAGGTAAATGAAATATATCAAGGTAGCGACACAACGTGCGAATCTCCTCCAACATCAAGGACAAATGGTGCAAATTTCGACGTGGGCTTGTAAGAAGCAGGTAGGAAGTATGGGGAAGCTCTTCTGCCGCGGAACGGAGTTTTAAATTCGTATCCCGCGTCTCTGCAAGGCATTGGCCGAGATCAAGCCGGGCTTTGAAACAGGTCCCTCACAGAACCGGGCCGTGACTTCGGAGTCGTCCTTTCAGACTAGTTCCGTGGGTATCTATAAAACGGCTTGCCAGGCTATCTCCGAGTCGAATTCTTCCAGTGACCTTATACTCTCAGCGAAGTCAATGGCCGCGCTGTAGCACATCAATTTTATTGCCCAGTTAATTACGTCGGAACTTTGGGCGCAAATTTTCAAGTGTTTCTTTGCATACAGAGACAAGCTTCAAATTTCCACATGAGGGCGTCGTGCTTGCTCGCTTTTGGTTTCATATATCCTGTTTCTGTTGAGAAACCCCGTGGACTAATAAAACACCCCTCCTGTTCGATACGATCGTTCTTCAATGTTCCAACATTGCCATCATCTCAATGAAGGTGGGTGAAGTTCTGGCATACATCAAAACGTCAGCTTAACTTTGACACTGTAACCAAGTAACGCCCCTGGGAGAGATTTTGAGGTAAGGGCCGTCGTTGCTCCTGGTCGGATGATTCAAGTCAACATCTCCGCTCCTGTTCCGCGAGAAACCACTTTCGCGATTCTCAAGCGTCTGCATGACTCGGCCTGTGATTTCATTTTTCCAGTCGTCGATGCTTGGAGTGATGCAGCGAGTGCTGTGAAATATTTTGCATGACGTTTATACCCTCCGCCAGAACCTTATACTCGATATCAGTCTGTGCGATGGAATACTCAAATCGTAAGGGAAGTTTTCCCATCACCAGGATTGAGACTCGATTGACCGTTCAAATACGGAGGTTTTTAGACCAAGATTCGCGCTTCTTGAAATGGCCTCCTTGGCCATCGCCGTCGCCCAAGCTTGTGGATCTTCTGGACAGCTTGCCCCAACTGCTATATGCGCTGCGCCATTATTGTCGGTGTCTTAATATGCAGTATCTCGACATCATTGAAAAACTTGGTTGTAGGTTTGAATGATTTCTTTTAGTAACGAACGGTGTGCGGGAGCCTTTGGAAGACGCAAGGAGTATGCCAAAATGGACTGTTACAACCTCGCAGACATTGCTGAGAAAAGTCGCAAATATGTTTGACAGCATCCAGGGATGGGAAAGGAGATGCACGATGGGTCTGATTGCGAGTGCGAAATTTGTGGTGCGGATCTTGCTATTTCTCTTCGTTAGTCTGATATTTCCACTGTCCAGAGGTGTAAAATAAGATACAGTGACGACGTGCTGCGTACGTGAGAATGTAACACCAAAGGCCGTCAAGGTTTCCAAGTTCACCTTAACTTCAACCCTCGAATTGAGGCTCGAAATTACACGAAAACAGGCAAAAGAAAGGAACGCTGTGGATGTATGAGCAAGCGCCGACGCTCGTATTACATAGGGTTTACTCACGAACACGGGATCTTCAAAGTTTACACATCCTCTGGATATATCTGCTCGTTTTTGTCCTACTGTGTATAAATCTATCGTCGTCATCGAACGCTCCGTTTGGGCCCAAAAGATAGATGGATTGCCGTGCTCTCTTTGCCGCCATAATCCATGTGCTCAGTTATACTTAAAAGTAGCGTCGAATAACTACCGTCATCGAGATAGCCCTCTAGTGAAGGAATGGCATTTACACTGTGGCGTCGCGGTGAAGAGGAAGGACCGGAGTTTGAAAATTGGGTCAGCATGACCTTGTCCTGCTCTTCTGCCTTACTCTCATCTCTTCCTGGTTCCAACGGCGATGATGACAACATGAACGACCCCTCTCTTACTATCGATGACATTCTGCTCGGCGCTCAAGCTGACTGCGTCCGTTGACGCGTCACCTACTGGACCTTGTACGCGCAGCTCTTCATTCATACAAGGGGAGCAATATCTCCAAGAGGTGATTGCCTTCAGAAGGTATTTATCCTTTTCCGTATCAAGCTGGCGTGTTTTGATTGTTATAGACAGATCCAAGGCGCATACATCCATCTAGAACGAGCACAAAATAGGCTAAGGCTCTCCGAGAGAGAATTGATGTCGAAGAGCGACTCCTGAGGTACTACGGCTTTTCGTTGGTCCGACCGGCTCTTAGCTTACTATTCCTTCAATCCTTCCAGGTTCCGCTCAGTTATGTCAGCTCTGTGTGCCAGGACCGGCGTTGTGGCATTCAATATCGCCAGCTGTTATACTTGACTCACAGCGCCAGTGCCTTGCTACAACGCCCTGCTATGCTGTGACTCACCTTCCCCTGCCCGCAGAATACATTCTATGTGAAATAGTTGGGTCCTTGAATTTCATTGACGCTTCTATTTCTCATATGGTGTTTGGTAACGTTCTCTATGGATGGCTCCTGACAGCATGGGCCTCGACTACTTTGGCGTAATATTTTAGCACTAATACTTCTTACACGATCGGAAGTGCGTTCTCTTCTCGCCCTGTCTTTGTTCCAAAATTGACTAACCCCCGCTTCGAAGGTTCTTCCGTTAAACCCTCAGAGCCTCAGCCCGAGTCTCCATTGGATGAGCTGACTGTCGGCTCGTAGACTGCTAAAATCAAATCACTTGAAATCGCCGTGCTTATTACAGTTGAGGCTCAGACAGCGCAAGTCACTGTCATCAATTTAGGGCGTTATCGAACGGCATCATGGCTGTACGGTCAGCGCCCATCACCTAGCTTTATCTATGCGCATGCTGTTTTGGTATACTCAGTAGCTGTATGTGAAGCCAGGACAATAAGCGGTAGCTATGTCAAGAGAATATGCTAGCGCACGGGCTATGTCGATTAGGATGTACGGCAGTGAAGAACCCCCCGCCTCCTAAATACAGGACCACGACGCGAAGGGATCACTTACAAACCCCTGATTGGCTTAGTTTTCTTATCAATCTTCGGGATTGATGTGATTCCCAGGTGTCGATTTTGCCTATCATTTCAATATTAGGGCACTCCGGTGGAATCTGGACCCGCAAGGGCAAACCATACTCCCTGTCTGTTCAGCATCCCGTGTTTCATTGAAGAGACAGACAGCCGGTCTCCTCCTAGGATTGACAACATATAACCTGTCCTCATTAGCGGAAAGGAATCAAGCCGCCCTAATTGACCGAATCCAACGATCCTTCCAAACGATAATGTCTTCCGCACACAACTGGCCCTCGCAGTCCCTCCTCAACCTCGACGTGTTCAGAGCGACCGGTGTGAGCGCCAACACCCGTTCCGATGCCCTTGCGCTCTCAGAAAGCGCGTATCAGCGGGCGGGGCTTATCTGGAAGGCTTGGGACCTCACCTTCGAAGATGTCGTCAACCTCAGTCCCAAGTTCTGGAAGATGCACAACGACCCCATCGCCTGTCACAATGTTTCCTCCGTAACCATCATGACCATCCATCTCAATCTTGCTGTGGGTACCATTGGAACATACGCTGCCGATCGTCCCGAGCTTCAGGCTCTATGCAAGGATATGATGGATTGGAAAGCTATGTACGTCGTGTCCTTCTACGTGATTTTCTTATCAATGCAGAAGGAACCTCTATCAGCGGTCAATTCCTTCTCACTGAAGCTGGTCACGGTTTGGATGCGACCAACCTAGAGACCACCGCTACTCTCCAGTCTGATGGCACTTTCATTCTTAACTCCCCCAACCGGGCTGCTTCAAAGTATATGCCCCCGACTGTTCCGGTTTTGGGTAAACCTTGCTATGGTGTCGTCTGGTCCCAGTTGATCGTCGATGGCGAGAAACGTGGTATCAGGCCTTTTGTCGTCCAATTGAACGACGGCGTTCACATGAGCAAGGGTATCACCGCCAAGTACGCTGATCTCCAATATAAGGTTACACAAAGCTAATGACCGATTAATCGCAGATTGATTCCTACTCGACATGGCGCAGCTCCAGTCAACCATGCCGTCACCCGCTTCGCCCAGGTCCACCTTCCGCAGTGGTCTCTCCTTGGACCCATCGGCGACAAACCCTCAACTCACGCTGACTTCCTCGCCGCTATCTGGCGTGTCTCCGTTGGTACACTCTCTTTGGCTTCGTTCGCTCTCCCAGCTATGCAAATTGCTGCTCACATCGCGTACAAATACTCTCTTCGTCGTAAAGTCGGCGTCCCTGCGCAACCCATCATCAGCTTCCGCACCCAGCAGATCCCCATCTTCACTGCAGTCGCGCAGACGTATGTCATTGAGGCGTGGACGAAGCATGCGATTAAACACTTTATGGATCCCGCTGCGAACCGTCAAGCGAGGCATGCGATTGCGACCATCTACAAGGCCGTGGTTATGGAGCATGCACAGACCACCCACTTCCATCTTTCGGAGAGGCTGGGTGCTCAGGGCTTGTTTGACTATAACCAGATCGTCTCTCAGTTTGTCAGTTATACTTCTTTACTTCATTGGAACATTTATCTGATCCAAATCTGATCCACACTTAGGCTGAGATGAGAGGTGTTGTCATTGCTGAGGGTGATGTCCTTGTTCTGGCTATTCGTTCGTGCTATTTCTCTTTACTTTATCTGCTTTCTCACCATTAGGTAGGTCTCGCCTCAGAACTCCTCCAGGGTAAATACTCTATTCCGGCCCCTCTCTACCCCAACAGTCTCCTCGCCCAGCGTAAGTCTATTCTACGCTTGCAAAACTACTACGAAGAGTCGACTAACCTAATCTACCAATAGACGAAAAAGGCGTGTTCGAAGAAGCTCGCGCTCTTGTCATGAAACACGGACCTCGGTCGAAACAATATGCTGACTACATTCTTCCTCGGTCTAAAGACCTCGTTGAAGCCATTGGCCACCGGATGGCGCACGAAAGCGCTTTGGTCGAAGGTATCCCCGCTGTTCTCGCCGATATCTACGAAGTCTTTGCCATTCAGAAGGACGTGGGTTGGTACGTCGAGGCTGGGCTCCTCACCCGGGCTAGGGTTGCGGATATGCAGAACTCGGCAATGACGAATGCTTTTGGGAACATGAACGAGTGGGTTGATGGGATGGGTGTGGCCAAGTGGGTCAAGGTGCCAATTCTCACGGAGAAAGACTGGGATAATTTCGTGGATTCGATGTATACATTCAGGGAGGCTCCGGAGGAGATAGCACTTTTGTAAATGTAGAATTAGGGTATATTAGAGTAAGATTAATAAGTTAGAGTTAAAACTACAGCTTCCTCCATAATGCTATAGTCTCCTTTGTTTGAGTAAGTGGCCTAGGGATATGCACCGTATCCGTAATATGGTGGATACGGATACGGCTCCGTATAGTGGCCATCTTCAACAACCCAAAATACGGCTAAAATACGGTTGTTGATGGAGTGGCCGAGGAGCATCTAATGCCATCGAGGTAAGTACACATGATGTTAATGAAGTGATTAATACTCATGTTTTGACTCTAGATATTTAGTTGTCGCTGTAAACCCACCCGTATACCGACAACGGTACGGACACTATGGATTTGATATCAACCATACCGTACAGTCGGAAAGAATTTTGGTACGGTCTACGGCCGTATCGATATCCGTAACGGTACGGGCACATCTCAAAAGCCAATCACGGTGACCAGACACATTCTTCATTGGCCCAGGCCCTAGGACGACGACACATCTCCCACCATCCCGGATACGAATCGTTTCCCGGCTCTCTCCAGCATTGTCTGATGTTCTTGTATCCTCACACTGATCATCAGCAATACAGATCGGAACTGCGGATCACATCAGTAGAACCATGGCAAAAAATCAGTCCTGGCATAGATTTCGTTATCATCGGCTGGCTTTTGCATGTCCTCGACTGGAGATCTCGCGCGTCTTGACGCAAGTGCCCACCGGCACCCGCACAACATATAACAACCACTTGCGCTCTCTGCGGGCGGAAGCGGTAATGATGGCGATTGAGATTTTAAGCTGTAGAAAGCACTCGTCGGCCCGTTTGTCGAGTTCCATTCCGGGGGGACATTGGAATACGAAGAAAAGCATACGTCTGGTCCTCCGATTCCAATAATAGAATGAGCTCTAGCTTTGGAAGTGGCAGGCTACCAAACTTGTTCATGACAGTAAAAAATAAGATAATGGATAACGAGTTTATTGATCGACTCTGCTATGCACAAGGGGTGGGCCGATAGTTATTAGAGGCACTTCACCAAATCGGATTCGGAAGGGGGGGGGGAAGTCGGAGTTTGAATTATATATACACTTTTGCTTGGTCATCGCCAGGTGCTCGAACTTGGCTATTGGACACCGTCGGCACCTACGTTTAACCAGGACACAAGAAAATGTGACATAATAACGACGACGACCCAGCAAGTGTATACTATGCTGTTGCATCGACATTTAGAGGTGGTAAAAGAAACACAGTGATAGAATGATGTTGCTTTAGAGGTCCGTACAGCTGTTCCCTTCCTCTGAGACGCTGAAGTCCTCTCAGGAAACAGCGTCTCAGTCTTTTCGGACGACAGGATGGATGTCAGCGGCAGACATGAGGTTCTCAATGGATCCTTTTGTGAGGATCTGGACTACGATACCACGGATGAATTGATGAACACAGCGAGAATTTTGGAGCATTGCTGATATAAGGTTCACTGCGCCTCCATCTCAGTTTGCTTGAAGTAACAGGCTTGCATTCCACTAGTAGCAGAGCATCATCTCGGCGAACCATCTGCGACATGACCGAATCACTACTGCCTCCTTCTACATTCTGTGCCTGCCTGCTAAAATGCAATGAGCAGGACTTTCTGTCCAGCCTCCTGACCCTGCCGCAGCTCGCATATAACCCGGAAGCTCTTTACACATTTTCTCTGCTTGTGTAAGGAGGGCCCTCGCTCAGCATGTAGTGTGCAAGAACCCGCTTGCCGCTATCTTTCCTGCGGCAGCCGCCACCCAACGTCGCTGCCTGATCAATAGCGTTAGCACCTCTTGATGACGCGTAGGTATCTATAGAACGGCGGCAATGTATGGTCAGTACAAACTCAGTTGCTATGTATTTTTGATCCTAAAACCATATATCGATCCACTGCGGTGGAGGAACAACGGTCAAAAGCCCCTCCAAAAGCCTATGCAATCATCATCATTCTGTCTTAAACACCGTCATGAAATTGATCCTTCATTTGCAAGAACTGAGCTTTACGACTCCGCTAATAGACGACGATGCAAGTCTGTCATCTTCCGTGATGATCCCAACGTCTCAGCTCTGTGTTCCTGGTGTCCGTTTCTATGAGATGACGGAAAACAAATATGACGCCTCTAACAATGGTTCGTCGTGCCGCTTCGTGGTGCTATCCCCTATGTAACACAAGAGCGGTCGCCTCGTTGAAATTGGTTCGCCGATGCAGACGAATACGTTTTTGCATGAAAACCCCAATGCAACTTTTGATGCATAAAAAACAGGCAGTCTACAGTAGGCCCCCCCCTCCTCGAGTAGGCGGAAGAACAATCAGTATTCGACTTCGCTCTATTTCCGACTCGAAGATCATATTTAAAGCACCGAAAAAGGTAAGATCATCGGCTTCATTCCCACCAAGCTTATCAATGCTTCAGTATAGTATTAAGTGATACAGCTGGGGTGACTCATGGCCGTGGGTTGGTAAAGCATGGAGACTTGCATCGGAACCTTTCGCTGCATTTAACCTCAAGTGTGCATCGGTATAGCCGTTCAAAACCCCCTCCGACACCTGGAATATTCCGAGAGATCGACGGTACGTTGTCTTCTGACTTGTAAGCCGTTGTTCCATTCCCAGCGCACAACCTGCCATAGAGAGCTGAATTATTATTCTCTTTTTTCATATCATCTCTCAGATAGGTACAGGCATCATCAAACGGAAGCTTCTCGCCGGAAATAGACCTTATATAAGGGTTACTCCACGTCCTTGAACGATTACGGGTCTCTCTTTCCGCGCCGGCCATGGCGTCGCTTGCACTAGGGAAAACACTCGGAGCGGTGTATATCGGAGCTATGGTGGCTGCAATGTGAGTTTCTCTGTTAAACTGCAGTCCGAAAAGATCTAACAACAACGATCTCGCCAGTCTTTTTGGGATCACCATCCTGCAAACCGCATTGTACTACCAAAGATTCAGAAAGGACTGGTGGGTGTACAGGTACTCCGTAAGTCGCTCTGCGTAGTCATCATTGAGGCAAATGTTCACGTATACAGGTGGCGTTACTTTGGTACCGCGTTCCGGACTCGGATGCAGATAATTTTTTGACGACTTATAATTAAACCCAGGATCCTCGACGCGCTGCACGTCGCGCTCAGTACGCACGCGTTATATTTTTACCTGGTGGAAAATTTTGGCAATTTTGAGGTTCTCAACAAGGTCGTCTGGTACGCGTGACCCCCTCTTTTTGAATGAAAACACGTGCCTAGTTCCTCTATCTTTACAGGAGCTTCAAGGTGAATCTTCCCGACTTTTCGAGCTTGAAACCAGTAACTCGATTCCTAACCAGCCACTGTAGCTGCAGTTGTTGTTTGATGCAAGTGTACTTTTATTTAATCTTCCGCCACTGATGATGGAACCCAGACTTTGACTGTACTAGGTGTGCAAACGTACGTATCCACCCCACATCCTAAACCCGAAACTTAACTTTGTGCGTAGTATATATGCCGTACGGTTATGCAAATGTGCGTCAGCGTCCTCCACTAATTTCTTCGTTGGCTCATCATAGCCTAGTGGGACGTCACTTCCATCCGGTTGTACCTTTGTTTGTGGTATGTCTGTCCGGTGTCAGCTTCATGCTTGTCTCATTTGACAGGGTTCTCACCTTCTTAGGTGCTTGTTGTGTTGGGGGGATATGGTAACTTCTTTCTCCGTTCTCCTGTCGCTTGCAGTTAACATCCGAATTTGAAGCCGCAGGAATATGTGCGTGTGTTCGCCTTTGCTCGTTACCGGTGATCGTGTCGCTCATATGGCTTGCTAGTTGTCTGCTACGACGTGTAAGGATCAACCCGCTCTCCTACAGGCTTCCAATCTAGACACAACTAGACAGATTCGTGATAACAGGGTTTTCGGATATCTCATCCATTTCGGTATGTATATTCGTCGGACGCATCGTAGGCCGATTATAAAAAATGCGAACAGAGAACTATCGTCGCGGCCTTTTCTGCAACAACCGCAGTTGATTTTATCATATCCGCTGTGATGTGTTACTATCTTCAAGTAAGCAAAGCTGCTGTGCCTCACTATTCCAGGTGAGTCTTGCTTGGTTGTTTGGGATCTCGTTGCTCTAACTCGTCAGCATGACCACGACGCTGTTGGTCTTGATGCGGCTCGTTTTGATTTCGGGACTTGCTACAAGGTAGTTCATTTCGGTCTTATGTATCCGAATGCACAAGCTGACGAACGGAATAACTAGCACATGCTCGTTGATCACACTCATTACGGTATGAGCGTTCCTCGTTCCTTGCCATCGGCTTCAAGTATAACCCCTGCGCATAGTTTCTTACAATACCGGATTCCCTTGTCTTTCTTGGGTTCAACTTCATTCTGCCAAAACGTAAGTCTTTGTCTTTTCCCTACATGAGCCGTAACTGAATCCGAAAAAGTATACATAAATTCCCTCCTGGCTATGTAAGTAACGTTCATAATCAACCCAGACCTTATCCACGTGCATGAATAGGCTCAACGCGCGCAAGGAGCTCCGAGCACTACCTACTGAGAACTCGTCGGACGGCGAGACTCTCTTGACTGCTCTCAGGTTCAATAAGAATTTCGGTGATAGCACGGGAGACCAGGTTCGGGTTACTCTTTCCTTTTCCCTTTTAATGAAGGTGTAACTGAACAGATGGAATAGAGCAGCCGTCAGGCCGGGTCGGAGGATGCGAGCTTGGCACGGTGACTATGTCCTGAAGATTTCATAGACTGTAAGTTTACATCAAGGTATATCGAGAGGACGTTTTTGTTATGAAGTGCTACTTGAACGATGGACTCGCGTTTTCCTGGAGCTTAGCCGCTTGATCTCCTACGAAAGCAAACGTACTCGACTTCAAACCGTTGCAGCTTGCATCAGATAATCCTCGTCTCGGTTTGAAGTAAAGGTGGGATCCTTGCAATAATTCGAGACGTCAAATAGACAAGTCCGAACTCTCGCTGTAATTTCTACCTCGATCTCAATGATCTCTGCGGATCTTCGTACCTTATCAGATTGTTTTTGCTGGTCCCTAGGCAGAATTCTCGGTCCTGAGGAAAAGCCCGTAGCATAATGTATTCTTGCTGCGCATAGTTAGTACAGGCGTTAGTGCTCTGGGAATTACATATTCTGGTTTGTTTCCTTCTCCGGGAAATTTATCTGAGTAACAACACTTCCCTTCCTTCCCCCTTCTCTTTCGACAGGCCGCGGTGTACATCCAGTGTCGTTCTTAAATTATTCGTGGGATTTCTCGAAAACGGCATTCTCCGTGTCGTGATGATTGGTTGAGGTTGTATTTACCAGCGCTTTCTCAAGTTCTTACACGTACTCTGCGTATACCTCGCAACCTGCGGACGATGTCAGGAAGAACATACGGTAGTGTGTCTTCTATCATTGTTGCCATAAATCTGATTCGTGACAGGCGAAACCCGTACTTGAAGTTGCAAGCGCCGGCACCTCAAGTTACAATGAATGGCTTGGCGTGGCAACAACAACAGATGTAGTCGAATGAAATCGAAGACATCAAGATCAGGATTCAGAATCTGGAGAAGGAAAATGAAGACTTGCGTGCCTAGAATAGCGATCTGTGGAATGAAATTAACAAGGTGAAGTCGTTGCCGCAATGCGGAGCAAACTGGCATCTCTCAGAGTACTCACTTTGAGATGAAAGGCCCACGATTTCCTCCCGAGTTGTGCGATAGGTTCATCGATTTTCTGCACGATGACCGTAAGGCTCTCAAAGAATGCAGTCTAGTCTGCAGAGCCTGGATTCCAGCAAGTAGATTCCATCTTTTCGAACGCAGTGATGTCACGGTCATATGAAAGGCATGTCGAACTCCTCAACAGCTCTTTTCGCACACTATTCAAACACGTACGCGAAATTACTATCAGTGGAGTACGGATGATAGGAATCTTGAACCCATTCTACGGTTTCAGTCACTCGCTCAGTACCTCAACCGCTTCACGAATGTAACAGTTCTTCATCTTCTATCCATGTCCACAACTTCGATTCGCTACATCATCGGCTCACCCAGCTTCACTTCTCGTATCACAAACCTGATGCTCTATAACATTATCTGCTCTACCTTCGACGACTTCCCATATATCTTATCATACTTTTCCAAACTTAAAAGTGTTGATTATGATGTCCATTTCTGTGACATGCCCACCGACAACTGTTTCCATTGCGGGATGCAATACATGGCAGATGTATTTGCAGAGACTTTGGTTATCGATGACTCCCCACCTTCACCCCCAGAAACACCACAGACCATCTCGATTGAAGACTGCTCTAGCCTGACTAGTTATCGCTCAGCGGAGAGGAGTGCCCTGTACAATTGGCCCGTGTCAATGATCGCACATATCTGCGAACCCTGTTGCTTGGATGCCTCTCGCATAAGTTCAAGGATGGAATAGTGGCCTTGTCGCCGTATCTCCACAGTTCCGGTGCGACACTTAAGCATATCGGATTGGGATTTGAGACCGAAGAGGCAATAGGTGCGACTCTTTTACCAAATTGATCTACGTCCTAGTGGTACTCATATTGAATTCTACAAGAACTTTTCTCTGATGAGCTCGAGGCTCTTACCAGATGAACTTGTCTAGAAACTCTCCGCATCACAAGCGGCATTTGGTCCTATGACAGTACTCGAAAGAATTTTCGCCCTTCGCTAGTCAGGCTACCATAACTCCTTCTGTCACTTCCGATAGCGTCTATGAAGAACTGACCTTTGACGTCTCATCCCCAATGCTGCGGTTGCCGTATACGAAGTCAGAACAACATCCAAATTCTTAGGACTTTTCTACCATTGACCATCTCTTATGTTGATTCTTGGTCTTGGCAGAGATCACCTTCGTGGTGAAAGAAGCACAAGCAGTATCGCATGAACTCGAAAGTAGGCTGCCAATGTGTAAAAAGAAGGTTTTTTGAGGATGGTCTATAACAAATACTGAAATTTTATGGAAGGAATTTTAGGTTTAAGATTCTATAGGCCTATACCTTGTATAGACTCTGCGATTTGAACGTACTACGCGTTTCCCATCGTGAATGATTGCACCACCGATTGGAAGGTCATCCTATAAAGCAGACGCTGCCGGACGGTCCAGGATCGGTCCAAGGTGCTTTTCCGAGCGTCGATTAATGGCCTCATTCAGCGACTCGACTACTTGAAAAGAGAAATATGAGAAGCTGGGGCAGTAAGAACTTACCTTCTAGTCCACCGGCCCGGTTCCCTCTTGAATTGAAACCACGACATGTGATCGCGTGTCTCTCCTCTCTTGAAGTTGTAGCAAATGTTCTACTATGTTTATGTCCCACAAAGCTAGTGACGAGCCTGAATTCACTCAGGAATCCCCAGTGCAGTGATAGCTCAATACCCCCCATACAGGGAGGGGCCGGCGCTCCAGTTAGTATTCTCGGCCAGTGCGAGAATAGCCACTGATCAGCTTCAAGGTCTACCTACTTTGACGAAGAAGCCGAAGCCAAGTTTGATGAGCCAGCCAGTTTGGCCAGCCCAGTTCGATGTCGGCAACTTTGACGTAACAAACGTGAGAGATAAGCAAGACTGTACAGCCGCTGGTACTTGGCATGCTCACTATTCCAACGCCGGAATGGCTGGAGAGTGAGATGCGTTCTACTACGCTCGTTCTGGCTCTTTCCAGGAAGTTTAATGTACCTCAAAGCAGAGACTTCCAAGTGTATCTTTCCGCTCGTTCAAAACCCATCCTTCCTCCCCTTTACTATGCAAATTTCCAACACGTTCAATCCCATTCGCCAACCCTTCTCCAAGCAAGAACTTCGGTGGACCCCATATGAAGGTCATGGTGCCTGTGCTGTCAATTTAGCTTGGCACATTTCCGAGGGCACATACAACACACTCAACACAATGCAGCAATTTCCGGCGCTCACTTGGTCAACGTTGTACGATTCTTTGTTTCAGTCCATCTGGGAGGACCAGCTTCGATGTCACGAAGGATTTTCGGTCGAGTCAGTTCTCTCTTTGTTTATATTATTTCGCGTATAGCTGACCATAAATTTCTTGGCTTCAGACCAATTTGGCTTCTTATTTAGAGGGTGATTTTTCGAAATCATACACAAATGTACTTGATGTAGCATTCTCCTTCAATGGTGTTCTTCTGTTTATCATCGAATATGTCAAAACCAATATTCCCACTACCGAGGACAGCACATATGCACCCCTAAGTTATCTGTTTATCACCATGGAATGTGCCCTTGTCGGATGTGGTGATTTCGAACCCGTTTTGGCCTGTTGATCAAAGGAGATACAGGAATGTTCGTTGTAGGATATACTCAAGGAGATGAGGTTCAGCTATTGTGGTCTCTTTTGAAGGTCTACTTGGCTGAATGGAAATAGTTCTATATGTGCATGAATGGTGATTGACTTCTGCCTTTTTTATACTTGACAAGACCCTTTGACATCATGGCTATATGTATGATGATTACATTGTAAGTCAATAAGACAGAAATAAAGGGTGAAATATGAGTGCCCTCAATGAGGAGTTTCATTTGTAAGGAGGTGGTCAATCAAAATGTAATTTATGCCCTGACTAGGAGGGATGTGAGATGGCATTTCAACTGATTGAGGAAGAAAATGACATTATGAGGTGCTTTGAGGATTATGCCTAACACTGGCAAATGAACAATGTAAGCAATGAAATATCCAAACCATGGAAATATGAAGATTAGGATAGATATAGAATCTTTCCATTACACTGATGTCATCTGTATGTGTTGGGATTTTGCTGGAAAGTTCTAGAAAGAGCAATCCGGCATCATGCTGAGAGTTGATGAGTAAGCTCGAGAGAAAGAGAAAGTTATAGTAGATTCTAGATATAAGTCTGGAGAGTATAAATACTAGCTCTGTAGGAGCTGTAGAATAAGGAGTTCATTCTTTCTGGCCTTACCAGCCTGGAGTCTACCCTGTGCATCACTGAGGATTTCCAACAGGTTATGGGCCCCGGCACGATTAGACTCTGATTACGGTATCTCGACTTCTTAATTCGCCCTTATTCATTACCTACTATGAGTAGTGTGACAAATGCTCTGATTGACGAAAAAGGAAGGAAGGGGCAGCACACCCAGTGCAATGGCTCTGATCGCACAATCAAGGAGATCAAGCAGCCTGAAGCAAAACATCAGATGTTACGCATGTGGCAAGACTGGCCATATTAGTCATGATTGTCACACAAAATGGAATGACAGTGCCGATGCTGCAAACATTGTGCAGAGCGACGATGAAGAAATGGAATATGCCTTTTGAGGCAACTTTGGTGGAAAATTGGTTATATCTTTGTGAATTCCCTTAGCCCCTTGGTAGGAATGTGTTTCTGCTGTGGTTTAGACTGGGTTCGGCTAGCTTGATATTGGGATCAGCTGGCTGTAAGTAGCATTTGGGGCTCCTGCAGCATGGGTGAGAATAGGGAATGGTCACAAGTCTTGGGATATAATTGGGAATTTTCAGACTATTTCAAGTTTCAAGGGGAGACTTGGGATATTGGGACATTTTAGGATATATTGGGATATTCTGGAATATTGCGGCAGGATGCCGTATTGAAGGGGAGTGTTGGGATTTTGCTGGAAAGTTCTAGAAAGAGCAATCCGGCATTATGCTGAGAGTTGATGAGTAAGCTCGAGAGAAAGAGAAAGTTATAGTAGATTCTAGATATAAGTCTGGAGAGTATAAATACTAGCTCTGTAGGAGCTGTAGAATAAGGAGTTCATTCTTTCTGGCCTTACCAGCCTGGAGTCTACCCTGTGCATCACCGAGAATTTCCAACAGTATGGTGAGCTTGGGAATCTGAAAGTAGGTTGGTAGAAGAAAGGATGTAGTATGACATGGTTTTTGTTTTTGGATGCCAATTTGTGATGTTGAGGGCAGGCCTATTTTTGTAAATATTGGGATTTTCTGAACTGGCTTTTTCCCAAACCAACACTTTGGTGATTTGCACATATACTCAAGCTTTCTGCTGAGGTGGCTGGTATTTGAGTCTGTGGTTTGCATGAATGATTGGACTTAATGGTGGTGAGATGTTAAGGTCACTGCTGATGTAACAATGGAAACTGTCTGAGCTTGTTTCTTTGGATAAGATGGTGAGTAATTCTTGACTATCTCTATATAAACCTCATTTTTGCATCATTCTAGAGAGATATTGAAGTCATAGTTCAAATGACCTTGAACAGTGATATGCATACAGTGGACAATCCCCATGATGTGAGATGAAGAATTTACTCAGAGTCCAAATATAATATCTCCTTGATATTGTATCTATATCATGCAGTCAGTTTTTGTACAAGTATCAGAGTCATGTTTCTTGATACATGATCCACTAGTTATATGAAGCTCTGCACTGTCTGCTGGTCAGTGCTATTGAACATATTCTTAGTGACAATGTGAATGGATATAGATAAGGAAACCCAAGCTACAAATGTGCAACTTCAGTAGGTGGTTATTTGTCATTTCTTATATCATTCCACATCTTATCACAGATGCTACTCTATCTGGTCAATGCATTGTGCAACCAAAGGAGACAGAAATGAAGACTTCAGGACCACTCATGTCACTCAGATAGTCCCAGCTACAGCCTTCACTGTCCAATCTCATCATGTCTTTGCCAATCCTGTCTTTCACCAATATACATGTTTTCCTATTAACTGTCTGTTCAGATGAATGCTTCAGTCTGTATGAGGATAACAATACCTTCTGAGGTGCTATTGATGATCATGAAGCTGGTGAAGGAGTATACTCCAGAGGAATGCAGAAAGCATTTGGCACATTCCTCTATGGTGATGAAATCAGTGATGGGTTTGTATCTTGCTGGTGCTCCCTCCTATTGTACTAGATCTTCTTATTAAGCTATCACCTTGCTGTTGTGTGTTATATCCCCTTTGGATCAGAGGTTCATCTTTTTCACCTTAATCAAGGCTGACTAACCATGATAGTACTGTAGAATCTCATTATGATGCTTTTGGATATATCTGACTTTAATTTTATGGATTCCATGGATATTCTCTGAGTATGGCAGTGTATTTGCAACCTGTGAGATATTGCTTGGGATTTCATTGAGCTGAACAAGACCACACATAATAAAGTCAAAAATATATTTTCTCTGTAAGTTTTTCATACTGGAAGGCAGAGTCAGGTCATGAAACTTTCAGCAGTTAAAAAAAAGGCCTCAATAATGTCTCAATCCATGACAAAGAGTAGCTTTGACCACCTCAGTCATGAGAATCTACAAGTATATGACTTGCTCTGTCTTGATAGGCTGATCAATTTCTCTTCTGAACTGGATTGAATGTCATTGATAGTGAGCATACAATGGATGGCCTGTTTCTTCTCCAGTATTCAAGATACCTTTGGATCTGAATTCTGTTGGGAAACAAGCTAATGACTTGGTCACAGATATGATCTGAATCTTTTAGTTATTGGTATCTCAACATATACTTATGTGTCTGTTCTTGTAGTTTCTCTTTTCTCTTCTTATGAACTATTTTAGTTTACTCTTTGAATGCACTAAAAGACTTGGAGAGATATAAAAGCCTCAAAGTTATACTAGATTTTATATAGAATATTCACTTTACTTCTACTCTTACAATTATAAGCTGCTAACAAGTTATGGGCCTTGGCTATAACTGAACTACCATCCAAATACTTGGACTCACAGTTGCACTAACATCTCTATAACCTCTCCCAACAATGTCCACAAACATCCACTCATCTACTACCAAAATTGATGAATACTTTGCCAAGCTTTCTGCATGCAAGGCTGATGGCACAAACTGGATCTTCTTTAGAGACCAGTTTCTCTACACATCTGATAGCACTGGTCTTGCAGACTATTATGAGAATGTACCCCTTAGTACTGTAACCATGCCAATAGCACCACCAGTAGTGTGTTGGCACACATACAATGTAAGTATGCCACTAAAAACTGTATTATTGGAATTTTACTATTGTTTTTATTTCATCATGCTTATTCTAGATGACAATGTAATAATGCCATCCAGTTTGCTACAGTGTATAAGTAGTGTACTCTCTACCCAGCTACCTCAGTCCTTCTACAACTTACTCTAAAGACTGACATATGCAATTCTCTTCATTTTACACCATATCTATTATACTTATATCATCTGTAGAACATCTTTCTACAGACTGCATACCTATAAAGAGGTCAGATTCTAATAGGTTATAGGTTTGCTGCCATCTCACATCAATTAGATGAGACATTAGAACCTGAGCTTAACTGCTAATTTTTTCTGTCATATGATGACAGCCAAAATATTCTCAAAACCATCTGTCCCTCTCATCTGCATTCAGACTGCTCTTTTCACTGGCAATATTCTGGATAAGGAGAAAAATAATTGGTGCTCATAAAGCTAAGATATTCTTGACCTTCTTGCTCTATCTAGTGGCCTTGACTGCCATCTCTTTGGCATCTAAGAACCCTTCAATCCTGACAAGAAACCTATCACAGCTTAGAACTGGTCAACAAATGATCATGCAGTCATTAGTTTCATCTGAATGAAATGCCACTCTGATAAAAATGAATACATATCTATCCTGAACTCTATACTGGCTAAAGAAGTCTGAAAATCACTGTCTAATCACTATAAGTAGAAAGACCCTATAGTCTAAATAAATCTGATCCAGAAAGCTCTTGCCATCTGATACATGCATCAAGAATATCTTGCCACTATGACTGCTTGCCTATCTGAACTGAACACCAGAATTTGAAATATAAGCCAGCCTATGACTGACCTGTTTCTTTGTATCCTGATGCTGAATGCTATGTTCAGAGATCTGCT